ACTATATTTCATTGCCGAATTTGAACAGTATGATTCGAATGATAGTTTACAGTCCTATCATTAATTGATTTCTTTATTGTACCAAGTAGTATAAGCATGTAATTCTTGAGTGTTGAGACAACACCACAAATGATGACGAACATCTATTTCAATGGTTAAGATCATGAGTCAGTTGAAGCTAGACCACCATGGAAAACCTGGAAGCACTAGACGGCCGTTTCGTCCTATTGTGGGACTCCTCAGCAGTGCGCATCCACGACCTCGCCCCCTGTGAGATTCGAACCCAGGACCTACTGGTTTCGTCCAGTGCTTCCAAGTTTTCTATGGTGGTCTAGCTTCAACTGACTCATGATCTTAACCATTGAAATTACTACAATCTCCACAAAAATACCCATCTGAATATCTATTTGTTCAGAACATTCTATCGACCATAAATAATCAATGTACTAACGAAAAACAAATCATTCTATGATGAAGACTATAACTGTCATGAGAAATATGCACGACTTGATTGATTACTTCCTCTTTATTATTGTTATTATCCCAAGCAGATTGTAGCATACATTCATACAACGAGAAATATATGTGTATACAGACTAAGTTACTTCAATCAAATTTACTGATAGGATACGAAGATCGCAAATACACTATACAATTCGCAATAAGGGGTCATTTGTCTAGACTTAAGAAATTGATATAAACTACCCTTTTTAGATTAGTCATCGGATTTATCTTTTCCCTATTATCATTAGTCATTTTGTTTATTATCTGTAACATACAGATTTTATAAGTTTTCTGCTAGTTGGTCACTTTACAACAAAGTATACCTTTAGTCCTTGAAGGAACTGATGCTCCACATCACCAAGTTTAACATTAAAAGACATTATCATTGATCTATTTAGACAGTGTCAGATCTCCTCTAGCATGATGTTTAATATGAACTAATATCAACTAGTGAACTAATGAAGATTTCAATGTATTGGAAGGATATCTGTACCATTCTAGAGTACCATACTATCTAAAAGCAATCCATTGGATACTGTGTCTCAGTGTACGTGTGTGCATTGTTTAAAATATATATATATATATATCTAATTGCTAGGGCTGAAGCTATCACGAATTCACTTAATCCGAGAACGAGAAACAACACTCGGTGACCCAAACACCAGTAAGCTAGCTATTGATGCGTCCCAACCCCGCTAACTAGAGGGAGAAGTCCAAGCTTGGAATGGGGAAGTATATCCTACAAAACAGCCAGAAACGAGTGATAACAACAAACACAATTCAAAACGTATATATACAGTACAAAACCGTTCTTGGGGAGAGTTACCAAAAAGCATACTAAAAGACGCAACGGATCAATAGCATTTAAGATATTTCTCAGTGGGAAATACGACATGAAGGTGACAAGAGTACTTTTGGCGCGAAAACGAAGAAATTCAAATTTTCTAGATAAAATTACAAAATTAAGTCCTTTCCCAAGTGAATTCTGGGGATCTAATGTCTCCAACATTAATCCAAAATACCAGTTCAGTATTTCATTTTCAATATGCAAACATATTTTATTCACTGAATATTTAAATAAGTATGTAAAAAGATATAATTTTCTATCTGATCCTTCTAAAAATTGAATATTTCAAACATCATACTTAGGAAACTATCGATTTCAAATATACTAATAGTAACAAATAGATCGATAGTTAACCATATGATATCTTGGTTTACTTACCTGATTTATTTATTTTAACATATAGATATTGGTACAAAGAGGCACCGAATACATATGCGCCACACTCATCTCATTTGTTATGTTTGAGGGCTGTAATACTGACCGGGTGCCCAAACCGAAGCAAGTGTTCCTCTTAGGGGGGCCACACCCGGAGCCTTCGACCTGAAGGTCTGATCCACAAGGCAGTGGAGCAACGTAAGGTGATGCAGTTAATTCATTTCAAATTGAATTAAAACTCATATTAGTTGCACAAGTGATTGTCTATTTGAACTCAGTAGCTAGATGGATAAAGCGATGGCACTTGAAGTAAACAGCTCTATTGGGTTCGAGTCCCAGCGTGAACATTAACTCTAAGATGCAGGTATATGTGGCTGAAGAGTCTCGAACAGGAAGGGATGTGTATCTTGGATCTTATTACTTGCTTAATACCATCTATTCCATACTAAGATGGAAGGTTGTTCCGTTGCTTAGTAAACGAGTTCTCCACGAAAATAATCCAAGTGTAAATTGGTGTATATCTTACTAAAAGTTGAATGGGTTTTTTTTTTTGTTATGGAACCAGAGTGTATAACACATTGAATGGATTAACTTCTTGTTCTTTTTTTTATGAATCAATTAGATATCTGTCACTAAAATAAACAATCAAACATTTGTGTATCACATTGTAATTCACACCAAATGTATAAAAGAGATGAGAATTTTATTATTTAGCCTTTTAACAATGATATACATATTGCAAAGTGTATTTCATATAGTCATCAATCAAGTGATCTAGGATTGAATATTGAACAGAAATAAAGTAAAACAAAATCGATAGGGTATTTATTGAAAAGTGAACAATGTTTTGTTGTTTAATTTTTTTTTTAAAAAAAAGAACACAACTTAATTAATAGATAATGTGACTGATGTCGAAATAAACAAGGGGAACTCCTAATATTACTAAATGTCTTACATAACTTGACGGATATTGATTTTCTCATTTGGATTAATTAGATCTCATAGAATTGCCCTGTATCTCAGTTAGATGATATTATTATACATTAATGGAGATAGTATTTTGATTTTTGTTGTAGTTGAACACAATGAATAATGACGGCTAGCGGGAGAATCCAGTTTGACACGCGTTTTATCATATTTGGGAATCGTCAGCTGGATGTACCTAAATCCCACAGATGATGTTCAGTCTGGGACTAAAATCCAGTAAGTATCGTTCAGTTCAAACGTCATCGTATTATCCACTTAGTTACTGAGTTCTGATAGCCACTTGCTTGTGCAATGGAGTGAAGTTTACATTCACTTGGTATTGTTTTACGTGTATCTTCTCATTGTTATTTAGGGCTGCAATTGATCAGTCTCATGTCGGTATATGTGCATCCTGTGCGGATTACCTCGATATAACCTTAAGTTACGGCTTTTTTTAAGCAAAGATGGATGGTGGCTAGCAGTTCAATCCAGTTGACGGAGTCGCAAATAGGATGAAACACTCATCTTGGATTCCACCATTCATTTTTACTTATAAAAGTTTGTGAATTAAGACAATATCGAAACAATCCACACAGGATAAACAGATACCATTAAGAGATTGATCGATTGCAATCCTAAACATCAATAGGAAGATGCAAGTAAGAAACACAACACCAAATGGCTGATCGTTTCAAATTCAATAAATAATCTTTTTAAGCAAAGATGGATAGTGACTAGATATAGAATCCAGGATAAAGCGCATTTCGTCTTATTTGGGACTCGTCAGCCGAATGTACCTGCATCTCAGAGTTGATGTTCACTCTGGGACTCTGAATTTAGGTATATCTAGTTAACAAATTCCAAATAGGACGAAACGCGCTTTATTCTGGATTCCATTGCTAGCCACTATCCATCTTTGCTTGAAAAAGCTTGTGACTTAAGGCTATATTGAGGTAATCCGTACAGGATGCACATATACCGACATGAGACTGATCAATTGCAGCCCTAAATAACAATGTGAAGATACAAGTAAAACAATACCAAGTGAATGTAAACTTCACTCCATTGCACAAGCAAGTGGATATCAGAACTCAGTAACTAAGTGGATAATGCGATGACGTTTGAACTGAACGATACTTACTGGATTCGAGTCCCGGAGTGAACATCAACTCTGTGATGAAGGTACATCCAGCTGACGATTCCCAAAAATGATGAAACCCGTGTCAAACTGGATTCTCCTGCTAGCCACTATTCATCTTTGCTTGAAAAAGTTTGTGACTTAAAGTTATATCGAGGTAATCCGTACAGGATGTACATATACCGATATGAGACTGATCAACTGCAGTTCTAAACAACAATGAGAAGATACAAGTAAAAAAAACAACACCAAATCCATTCAATAAACAATATTACCATAATTTATTATCAGAAGGGGTTTGTGCAGATTTTTAGAAATTTTCACAGGTTGAAATCATGAGTCAATTGAAGCTAGACCATCATGGAAAACCTAGAATCAATGGATGGCCGTTTTGTCCTAGTATGGGACTCCTCAGCACTGCGCATCCACGATCCCGCACCATGAGGGGCTCGAACCCAGGACCTACTGGCTTCACACGCGAGCACTTAAGCATTAGACCACTGAGCCGGCATCCAACGGTGTTAATGTCTAACTTTAACCAATCCACAAAGTTGCGCCACTATATACCATTGTCTCCAGTGAGCTGATATCTCACAACAGACCTGGTTGTACTCCATTGGTAACGGCTTCCCACTAGAAGTCCAGGAGTATCTCTTGAAGTCAGTCACTAATGAGCAGATGATTATTATCAGAAGGGGTTTGTGGAGATTTTTAGAAATTTTCACAGATTGAAATCATGAGTCAGTTGAAGCTAGATCAATCAAGTTAATTTAATTATTATTTTAATACTTTTATTAAATAGTCAATGTATATTTATTAAAAATGAGAAATGAAAAACAAAAAAGAAAAAAAAAACAACGAAGGAATGGGTTACCTACTTGCCCAATAAGAATAAAACTCATCATGAAATAAAGAAGAAACACAAAGAAGAGAAGATAAAGAGGAAAAAGAAACGAAAAATAAAATAATTTCAGTCTGACGTATACAATTAACAAAATAAAAGAAGTATATATGTCGATAGAGAGTGTGAGAGAGAGGGTGGGGGGTATATAAATGTGTCTGAAAGAACTTAAAAGGGATAAACAATCATTGGAACATGTGAAACAAAGACCAAAGATAGTAATAATAATAATAATAATAATAATAATAATAATAATAATAATAATAATAATAATAATAATAATAATAATAATAGATCTAGAGGTAGGGTATTATTAATCAGCAGTAAACAGACAAATGTGAAAAGACAATTTTATTTAAATAGAAAGACAAAAATAGTTGGGAACCCACCCATACACACATACACAGAAATCTCATTTGTAACAAATAGATGATGTAAAATGAAAACATAAAAAAGAAGAAGAGGGGAGGGGAGGAAGGGGGCATTAAATAAAGTAACAATAGGTCAATTCATTTAACCGTCTATAGGCCATATGATATATATATATAGGATATTTGTAAGCATAGGTCGGTATAATTTCAATGATATGAATGTCACAATATGTTAAGAGAATATACAGATATATAACTTGCACACACTGCACTACATCGAAGAAAAAAGAAAGGCATATACATCTTTGGAACACAATGGGGTCATTAGTGTGTGACAAAATAAAAAGAGACCTATTATTATTCTATATATATATAACATAAAATATTATCAACGGCATAGAAACACACAAACACAATCATGTAAAAATTCTTCATCTGTAAGTTCAGAATAAATAAATAAATAAATGAATGAATGGAAGAAACAAACACAACTCGAGTGCAAAACAGAACAACACACAATACTGATCCTTATTTCCCCATTTATACACTTACTACTTATTAATAGTAATAATAATAATAATCATAGAAAGAAAGGTGAATTATAACTCCGTGTACTTAATGACAGACAAAAATTCAGTTGGATAGACATGCACACAATACACACACACATATGCATGCATCTATATATAAAGAAAGGCAGGAAAAAGAAATCAATCGATTAATCAATAAAATAATTGATAAAGAGATAGGGAAGGATATGTCTTTCCTCTTTTTTTTAATTCGTTCATGATGGATACACAAACACACACGCACACACACATATATATATATATTGTACACGCATATAGTTACATAGATAGACCAATATGAAGATGGCAACAAACAGCGAAAGAGTGAATGAAAGGAATCATATATATATATATGTAGTGGTTGAACCAAAAAGAATACCTAGATGATAAATAAAAAAATTTTTAATCAAAGAAATGGATTATTCATTGAACGATGAACTATTCCATTATTATTATTATTATTATTCAATAGAATAGGATTATTCATAAATGATTGAGTTTGATATGAAATCTATAGAAAGATGAAAAGACAGAAAGAAGGAAACAAGAATTCAACTATGAATTCTAACAATATTATCATGATGATAATGAATGCATTTGATTATTCACAATGAATCATAATGAAACAATAAAATATGAGAATGTTATTCTGAGAAAGATATCATATCGGAATCAGGGTTTATCCAACTCTTCTAAATGGATATTTTATACTTACTCATTAATAACCTAGTGTTAAAACACAGGATATTTGCTTTGTGTTCTTTCAATTTTGTAAACAATACTAACGCAACAAGAAGATAATAAGTAGGAATTCCCTGACAATGTCTATATTACCTGTGGGGAGAATCTCCTAAATTTCGACTGTATCAGGGCACTAATAGGGAGCACTAAACACATTACGATAACCACTGACTAATAATGCTGCTTAATAGCTATTTAGTAATAATTGAATTAGGGCCTTCATTATAGAGAATGAAGCAAAATGCGACCCAAGATCTCCTCACAGCGCTGCTAGATAGTGGGGGCAACCCTGATAGCCAAATTAAGCAGTAGATGGAGATCGGACTAGTGATTGATTAACTCGGATTCCAACTCGAGGCCCACTTAACTGTAACGAGCTATTTGATGCACATGCTTATGAATACGAATTTCAGAAGTCCTCAAGCCTATGTAGTTCATGTATGTATATGCAAGAGGCATGCGTTTGCTGTCGCACAAAGGAAATATTAGTTGCAAAATGTCAGCCATATGTTTAACAAAATCAGCGACTTATCCATCAGGTCGAAGACATAATAATAATAGGTGGTATCAAGTACTAGCGTGAGGCGACTAACAACCTCCCTCGAGAGAGTGCTTATGCTTGTGTGTGTCAAGAAGTACAGGGGTGGTATCTATGCACTGAATAATATGGATGTAATGTATAAGAGATATTCTGTTGTAGCAAATACGTTTCAAAGGGAACGGTGAACATCTACCCTTCCAGGTGGGTGAATACAATTACATGTATTCTGTGGGATGCATGGGATAGAATCTGTGTGTTACCAGTGAGCATGTGACGTTTTTTTGCTCACAGGATAGATAAACCTATATGTATGCCAAATGATGCTCGTATGAAAGTTTGTGTGTTAACTAATATGCAAGTAGATTATACATATGCAGGGCAAGTAAAATTGCGAACTTTTTTAGTTGTTTTTCGGTGTGATACCATTATGTATACAAAGACCAATGAGCCGCGGTCCCCACAAAATCACATTCAGACGGTGGGCTTGTAAGCCTTTAAAACACGGAATGTATTCCAGAAGGACCACTAGATCTCCCAAGTAAGATGGAACACCGACAATATTGAAAACAGAGAGATAGAACATAGTCAGTTGATGATGGTCAAGAAGAAATACTATTATCTTTTAACTATTAACAAGGTGGGAGTTAGCATCGTGAAATAAATAAAACAGACAATGATTAAAAATTATACAAAACATACAAGGTGACAACAGGTAAATAATAAAAAAAAACTAGAAACTACTGTTCACTGATAATGCTTGGATTCAAATGCTAGACAAACTTAATTACCACATTAAAATACTTAGCTCCTGAATTGAGTTACATAAATATCGAATTTATTTAAGATTAAAAACGCACCGACTTGAGAATGAACTCACATTAGACTGAGCTGACGCAGCCCATGGATTAGTCGGATTCAATGGAATCGAAGCAGTTGGTTGATGATTAGTATTAACTGGACCTATTATTTGATTCAAAGAAGGTGATTGATGAATAGTTGAAACTTGTGACATCTGTTGATTGGATACTGTTGAAACTTGAACACATGGCATAGTTCCAGACCAATTGATTGTAGATAAACTTCCATCGGGAGCACGATAAATACGACCAGCTTGTGTGGATGAATAACTGTCACAAATAGACAAATTTCCAGCTATTTGAGCGATTTTATCGTCTAATGAAATTAATGATTTTGACGGAATAGTATTCGCTGTACAAAAACAAAACAAAACAAATATAAGACATTTGTTAATGTAAGCGGACGGATGCAGTGACATCGGGTAGAATAATGATTACGTAATACTGAGGGTAAGAAATAGAGTATACACTATGCACGATTGATTAAGGTGATCAAAATAATCATGTAGGGTAAATCAAAACTACGACAAATTAGATGCTTGAATTAAAAAGTCAAGAATATTCATAACGGTGCAAAAGAAAAAAACACGACTCAACAATCTGATGGTCATGTATGAAACCGGTGAGTTAAAATTTCGTTGTTTAGACCAACGCCGACAGATATAATTTAATGAATGTAACTAAAGTAGGGATAATAATCAGAGAATCAGTTCATATTATAAGAATATTTATTGATTTATCAGTATTCAGCAATTACTAATGAACGATATAAACATTTTATGAATAACCAAAACGATAGTAAGATATCTAACGCTTATGAATGTATTCAAACACTGAAACTTAGTTTTATTATTTATTCGAACACATAAATATTGGCACAAGAGGGCACCAGATACATATGAACCACATGAATCTCATTTAATTTGTATGAGGATTGTGATACTGATCGGGTGCCCAAACAGAAACAGATGGTTTTCTTAGGTGACCACATCCGGAGCTTTCGACCTAAAGGTCCGATCCACAAGGTAGTGGAGCAACGTCAGGAAATGCAGTTCCATAATAGCCAGTGACCAACGATTGGTTCATACGCCATTTGTTCTTTCAGGATACTGGAGCCCATGTGCACCATTGGTTTGGAATCAGGGTTTCTCAACTCTCTTAGGTGAACTCTCCGTGTCCACCAACCCGATTAAAGTGCCGGACATTTGCTTTTCGTCCCCTTAGTTTCGTAAACAGCACCCCCGCTGCGAGAAGGCAATGAGTGGGACTTCCGTGGTAGTGGCCGTATACGCGTAGCCATGTGAGAGCATTTGTAGAGGGAGAGCGGACTCTCCTCACTCTCGGCCGTACTAGGGTATTCGGGGGCGCTGAAACTTAGTGATTAGAATCATTTAGAATATAGAGAAAACAACAATCATTTCACACCAATTCCATTGAATAGTAAGTAATTCCAAGTGGGAAAAAGAGAACAAGTAATACAATCATCTTGTTTATTCGACAACGATACACCGGTAACAGAAACTATTCTGGTTTGAATACTCTAAATGTCGAAAATATTTAAATTATTAAGTGTGGGAGGTTTGTGAAGAATAGGTGAATTGTTATAGTTGTATACTATGTTTAAACAACCATTGAAAACTAGGAAGTGTTGGATAGTTGTTTCGTTCTAGCATGGGACTACTCTTCAACAATGTGTATCTCTAATCTAACCACTACCAAATATCTACTAAGTGATCAGTCAGCTTTGAACTTCTCAGTTCCCACAGAAGGCCAGTCTCTGACAGAACAATTCAGTAGTAACAAGTTAAACAGTGAATTTTGGTGACCTATGTTTGAATTGCACATGGAGATTGCAGGTTTGCCTGTTGAAGAGTGTCAACTAGTCCGAAAACCAGGTTAAGAGAGAATCCGACTTGTGCTAGTTTAAATACTACGGCTAACAGGATTGTAAATAGTTTAAATAAAAAGCATTTCTAATAGGGAGCATTTAAACGTGTTCATATGACGTAAGTCAAATTGGTCAGAATCGTTAACACATAACTTATAGGTAACGATAGATTGGGTCAACCAAACGTATCAGTTCAGGGTCAGATAATAGATGAAAGATACTGACAAACACACGCAACTATTGGTCAAGGTTTGACCTGATTATCTAAGAGAAACAAATACATTCTTTTGAATGAGTTCATGCATATATTTCTATTCGATTTTGTCAATAAAAGCTTTCTAATCATCCTCAATTTTTCTACTCAAATAGCAGATTGTGTTATATCCGAGCGAAGATTAAATCACGAATAACTTCTGAGGCATATTAATTGACTAATATTATCTATGCATTCTTATGGTATAATTATTCAATAATTAGATTATGCATACTTATATTCCTCTTATTATAAGCTTTATTTTGACGTATAATTTATTATTATACGATTTACTGTCCCTAAATTAGGCTCAGTTTATTAACTACTGCCTCTCACGCTCACAGTCACTTTTTGGCTTTATTGTGTACAAATGTTGTTTCCTATTTTATGGTGCGTTGTGGTCTGTTTGATTGACACGTAAACCCGGTATGCCTGAAATAAATGATTCGATTCACATAGTGGAAGCTAGTATTGGTGTCTTGAACTCAAGTGGACAGGCTAGGCGGACATAGGACCAATAAGGACGCTAGGGTGCCATTACCGGTCGAACGTCATTGGTTTGGCACAGTGTTAAGATTGTATAAGTTGTATTTTGATTGCTGGATAAATCACGTGATAAAAAGCCGGACACAGAGTCACAACAGATTGGACTTGTACCATAGGCAGCGTTTACATCGTTACCAGTTTGGGGCAACCGCCCAACAAAGCAAAGTGACATGAATAAAGAAAGATTAAGTGTAAAAACGAAATTGATCTCTTAGTTTGTTTATTCATCTCAGATATAAACTGTATTATCGATCTTAACAATGTATGTAAGCAATAGATGATATTTTTGTGAACATATCAATAATAAGCCATTATATTATTTTGCTAGAAGCATTGGGCAGCTGTTTCGTCATGTTGTGGGACTCCTCAGCAATGCACATCGATGATCCCGCTCTCCAGGTTCAAACCCACGAAATTCGGTCTCGCGCGCTAACACTTAACCCCTAGACCAATGAGCTGGTCAACATCCGGAGGTGCTAATGTTTAACCTCAACCAATCCACGAAACTGCGCGACTATTTTTCATTGTACTGAGGTAGATACCTGTCTCTACTTGACATAGATTAGCTCCACCGGTCACGGCCTCTCACTAGAACTCCGAGAATTTCCTCAAAAACTTCAAGTTTTACATGATTTGTGTAGCAAATATTATTTTGTTTTCAATCGCTATTTTTTCTATCAAATGTCAACATTAATGAGGTTGTGAAGAGTGGTGCGTAATTTTTTCTTTGAAAGAATATAAAATCACAATATTTTCTATCGGTTACAGTAGGAATGAATAACATAAATTGTAGAATTAGGTATTAACTGAGTTATAGTGTTTTAATTTCTACTTAGAAAATTGTTTTGATCGATATGAGGTTATTGGGACAGTTGAATTAAATCGAAATTAAAAATCGATCAAAGTTACACAACCTGAAATGGCCGAATGGATATTTCTTTCTATTATGGGACTCTATAGTGGTGTGCGTACACTACTCTGTAAACGAGAATCAGACCTAGAGCCCTCAGTCTCAGGAAAGTACCTACCGAAGACGATAGAAGATGGTTGCGATTGAAGTTAGACTCGAAGCTTCGTTTATGTACAGAAAATCGAAGATATTTATGGCATTTCAGGTGGTTTTGGATTTCTGGAACCTTACTAAACATAGTAGCAGGATAGCTAATCATCCTATCAGAAATGTGACACGTGACTCTTTACTCTCTAGATGTTTCTAAAATACTTCTATTCAATGTTGATTGGATAGAATGTTTTCTAGCGTTTTCAGGATCCTTCTGGGCTTTTTTCGAGGAATATTCTGGATCTCTCAAATAAAAACAAAACAATTGATCGATATGTCAATACACTAACAAATGTACATATTTATGTGGACTTAATAAAAAGATACACTTAATTAAATGGTAACTACGAAGATGTATAAAAAGTTACTCTTGCATTTTCCATAAAAGACTGACTTAAGTTAGACAACCAGTGGACGTTAACAAGGACTGAATACGTTTCTTTCTGATATAGGAATCTTCAGTAGTGAGCATCTATGACTCCATTAGGGATCAAAGTCAAGACTTCAAGACTACTTATAGTTTGTATTATATCGTTCACATTTCTCACTTTAATTGATTTTCAATATTGTGGGATCAATGTGAGTTTCTGTTAGTAATATTTGTCTTATACCTGACATAATTGAACTACACTAATCACAGTTTCTAACTAGAACTCCATGAAGTCTGAAGATGCTGATTTCTACCATTAATAGGATCATGGATGTACACCATTGAAGAGTCTTATTACTAGAACAAGACGGTGGTCTTATGATTCTTGATTTTCAATGGTTATCTGACTCAAGTCAGTCCATGATGTGAAATGTTAAATCAAACAATCAAAACTACACCCTAGAATAAAAACTAGTTTTATTGATTTCCCGCCTTGAAATGATTAATTCGAGTGTTCAAATTCAAATGAAAATAGACTACTTAAGAAAAGTAGTAAATTCACCGGAAATGCTATAAGGTGATGTTATCAAGAGAGTTAATACACACATGTAATTTTATTGCAATTAACTGTATATCATTATCATTATTATTGATGTGTAATAAATCTGCGAATACAGTCAAGACTTTATTAGTTAGAGATTAACGTATGTTTTCTAAACACCGATTGTTGTTGTTGTTGTTGACTTAATGTCGTGACAACACCGTCACTTTAAACGTACAAATATCGCAATTGAATCACTTAGACAAAGAATAAATCTTAAGAACGGGGATTTGTGAAGATTGTAATGATGTTAATAGTTGACTTCATAAGTCGATCTAAGACAGACCACCATTAAAAATCTGGAAGTACTAAACAACCATTTCATCGTAGTTTGGGACTTCTCAGAAGTGCACATCCACGATCCCATATGTGGGACTCGAACCAAGGACCTTCGGTTTCGCGCAAGAACGCTTAACCTCTTAAATTGAAAAAGGTTCATATTTGTCATCTGGATTTAATGTGAACACATTGGATATTTTTTATAGCAAAATGTACTCGGTTAGAGTTTCAATGTAAAATTCAACACAAAAATGCAAGCACATCCACAGCTGACAGGTCATCCGAAATACGATAGAATACTGTTCCTATATTCTACTATTGTTCACTGATCAACTTGAAAAACTATAATTCCTCTCTGAATTTATTATGATCTATAAAATAATCACCAGATTTAAGCAAATAAACAGTATTATCAAAAGGGGTTTTTTGAACTCTGTCTGAAGTCCTTTCGGGGGCTACTACCGGTCCCAAGCCTGTATAAGGGAGAAAGGTTGGGGTTGAGGTTAGCGACCCCATCCCGTAGAAAACTAACTCTCTAAAAAACGCTGGCCAGAAAGGGGTTTTGTGGCTCAGTGGGTTCGAATCTCGCGAAGGGCGGCATCGTGGATGAGCACTGCTGAGAAATCCCATACTAGGACGAAACGGCCGTATAGTGCCTCCAGGTTTTCCATGTTGGTCTAGTTTCAATTGACTCATGATTTCAACTAGTGAAATAAACAGTAGTTGAAGCAGAAAAATAACCGAATGTCTATATATATATATATATATATATATATATATATATATATATATATATATATATATATATATATATATATCTGTATGTGCGTACGTATAGATCAGACTATAGTAGGTAAACTTTAACAGACCTTTCCTAGAGGACGTCAAACATGTCAAACAGAAATATTACCCGTATTTGTTGAAATGTACTGATTATTAAGTGCTTTAGGAGTAAACGAAAAGAGAGAAAATGAAAAAAACAAGCAAACAATGACAACTAGTAAACAAATAAAAAGGTGTGATTTTCGTCTGATTTTATGTTTAAAACAAACAATAACACTAGTTACGTTATTACTAGTATTAACAAAGATGAAAGGAATAGTAAAATCTTATCAAATTATAGTGAATCAGCAGGTCACAGTTAAATCAACATAGAACCTGGCGCATGTGGATATCGTTTCAAGTTACTGCAACCAAATGAATACCAAACGTGGAGTAGTAGTATTAAAGGTAGTGGGAAAGATCAGGCATAAACAATATGATTAGATAGAAGTAATGAATTTGTGGAATAGAAGGTAAAAAATAAAGTTGATTTAGAACAGATAGAGTGGGATTGACAGTGGTATCTAGGACGCGTGTTTCGGCTTTGTTGTGGATGCAGAGGAATAAACCAATAATTATCATGTTATGTTCAATGGTGTCCCTGGACTTTAAATGGATATTTTCTATTGGTCGATATCTGTTCACTTGTTGAATATTGTACAAAATGTTGTTTTCTATTTTATGGTACGATGTGGTGTGCTTGATTGGTATATAAAGAAAGTATGTTTGAAATATAATGATTCATATCTCCGAGGCTGTGGCTTGTGTTCTGGACTCAACTAACTGGGCTAGACAGGGAAGCAGGACCAATCAGAACTGTAGGCCGTCCGTTCGTGTTAACGTGTCACCGAATCGATCAACAAACGCTACTTATCAAAACCTGCAGTCACACCCGTCATAACAATTTATACCAATCAAGCATACTACATCGTACCATAACAGGCTTACTTGGGACTCATCAGTCGGATGTGCCTGCATCCCAGAGTTGATGTTCACTACGGGACTCGAACCTAGTAGAACCGTTTGCTTCAAACGCAATCATGTCATTCACTTAGCTACTAAGTTCAGATAGGCAATACCTATTCAACCGGTGTGAGATTTAATTCAATTTTGACAACGGGACAATCCAAACCATTTTAAATTGAGTTGAAACTCAAGATGTAAGAGAAGACAAATAGTGAAGACATCTACGACATTGTGAATGATGAAGGTATATGTCAGCCAAAGTTTTCAACCACTGGCTATGATAATCAGTCCAAGTGTCAATGATTTCATGAATTGATTCCATATTTTGGTTTAACCGTAATTAATTGTATCCTAACTTACTCACAAGTCAATCGTAACTGGCTCATCGAGATAGGCTGTTAGAAATAAGTAACACATGCACTAGCCACCTTAGTCGACTAAGGGTCACGCTGTTACAATTGCGAACCGATTTACCATCTCTATCTAAAAACCTACATCTGATCTCAGCACTGCTCACTTGGTGGCCCCAACATATGTGAGTAATACATCAAAGACAACTATGATCGAGTACTAGTAACAGACGAATGTCCTGTGCTTTTGAGAATTATGTTTCATAGCCATAAAGTAATACAGAGAAGACTGCTGTGCAGTACACTCACCTCTCTGTTAGGAAACATACATTTTGTGTAGCAATTTCTCCAGACACTAATTCACCAGAGTTGATGAAACATTTGAAGTGAGGCGGTCAACGCGCCCAACTACTTCACTGCATATCGTTAGTTAACTTAGTTTAGTTTTAAAGCAACATTTAGAGAGACGGATAACATCTAGAATTTGATGTTTTTTTAGTTGTTTTTCGATCTAGTTGAATTGATCGATTAGTCAAGTTTATAATATATTGACTGAATTAAGTACATCGAACATGACAGTATATTGTCATATCCTAAAGAAGAATAAATGAAGGGTGACTTCTGAGAACCATTAATCGACTAATATTATATATGTTTTCTTATTGGATAACTATTAAGTAAATATATTATATGTATATTCATATTCCTTTAATCATAAGCTTTTATTTGAACTATTGGCTACTGTTCTACGATTTAATATTCTCAATTTATTAGTTACAAACCCTCATAATCACAACCACTTTTGGGTTTGATCTTGTATAATTGCTATTTTATGATATGATGCGGTCTGATTTGCTTGTATATAAACTGAGTATATCTGAAATATATGATTCATACAGAGGAAGTTGAGGTTGTGTTCTGGACTCAAGTAGTCAAAACTAGACGAGATGAACCAATAAGGACTCAGAGTTAACTCTAGGCTTCTCGTACTGGTTAACGCGTCATTGATCTGGCAACGTACCAAGACCGTATAGGTCAGTATTCTAGTTGATGATTTACTCACGGGGTATTTTAACAGGTCCATAGAACGTAACATATACAATGTTTAGTATAGAGATTTAAAGGACTCTGTAGTTATTGACATAAATTGATAAAATGAATTTGTAACTCTGAAGCGGACAGTACTAAGTTTGAGCCATGAAGTGAACATCAACTCTGAGATGCAGGTACATTCAGCTGACGAGTCCCAAATAGGACGAAACGCGCATCCTAGATTCCATTGCTAGCCATTATCCATCTTTGCATATAATGTTTGTGAATTAAGGCTATATCGAGGCAATACACACACAATATACACATATGCTAACAAGAGATTAATCAATTTCAGTCGCTAAACATCAATTGGAAGATTCAAACAAACAATACCAAGTGAATTTTGTTTACTTGATTGATAATGGAGAATATTAAGTCTAGTTTATAATTTGTATAGTCAAATGTCATATATAATGAATAAACAATGAAAGTTAATCACAATTATAAAATGATCTAATATGAACTATCAATAAGGAGATATTTATCTATTTATTATATGGTCCAATGATAATGATAGATAATAAACAGAATATACATGATTTAGTGAATAACTACAAATCTGTGTACATGATTTATATGTATTAAAGGTGAAGGGCGATGATTATGGTCAATTGTACACAATATAATTAACCAGAAACATCGCCTATATATATGTACACATACACATATACACATTTCAAGTTCACATTTATGTTTTGTTAGCGGATTTGTATGGTTAAAAGCAGATAGAATTAACCGGCCATGTATAACTGTTTTCTGTACTCATATTTAACTAATCTATTCAAAGCTGACAGCATAAATGATAGGACTTAGGATTAAACATAGTTACTGATTACAGAGAAAAATTGATATAAAGCTGATTGTAGGAAAGAAAAGAACTTACAGTGAACATTACATAAGTAGATCGATCAATAAAATAGAGACAAACTCAAAATGAAAATCATTTGAGAAGTAGACTGATCTAAGAGGTTGATTTGCATACACGATCCTGGATGCGGGAATCAAACTCAGGACTTCAGCTTCGCGCAAGAACGCTTAACCTTCAAATCATTAAGTCGGCGGGTGCGAGACAGCTATTTGCCCCAGGCAATAGATATAGGGTTGCGCAATATCATGGATTGATTGTTAGACATTAAAACCGTTGAATCCCATATTAGAACAAAGAGGTCGTCTAATGCTTTCAGGTTTTCAGTAGTGATCAAACTAAGATCAATTCGTGATTTAAGCCGTGAAAATTCTATAATAATCACTTGATCACAGAGTGGATTATTTTAAACCTAACAGTACTGCATATTCAATCAAACCTTATTAGGTGGATAAACTGGGCTCGAACCTATGCTTCATGAGTTAAACACTGGCGGCCTAAACTGATATAACGGGATGAAAGTGTGGATGTATAACTTCTGAAACTATTATAGAAAGGATTATTATTTATGCTTCAATTGTATAATTAGTACACGTTTGTACTGTTGCAACTCTTTAACTGTGTTGCTGTATGATCAGACACTTCAAACATGAGTTTTGAGTCATGATTTAATTGAGTACTATAAAGAACTAATCTGCTCTCTATTTAGTCTTCTGATTGCTCAGTTTGTTGGAAGAAGCTCGAGGACCGGTAAGCGTTAAGGTTTTAATTCTTGTTCATTGGCTGATTTATCAATTGACAAGTAGGTCACCGGTCCCATTGGCTATATTAGTGAAATAAACGATAATCGGACTCGACAGAGACCACATAACTGCTCTCCTGTCATTACGACCTGATCATACGGAATCCAACAGAACTCAAATAATCTGTTTTCCTTCGACATAACAAATCTTTGAACAGATATATATGAAAACAATAGCCATGTACGTCAAACTCACAATTAGACTGCATTTGTGGAGATGTGGAAGTTGAATTAGCAGAAACTCGCTGATTCGACATGAAGTCTTTGGATGTAATCGATAACTGAGGATGAGTATTGAATAAAAATGGATTTGTAGAATGCAACTGACCAGGGGATATTGCCACAGGAACTAGAGTTGAGGTTGACTGAGCAGAGAGAAGTAAAGGTGGACTTTTATTCGACCCAAATGGTAATGAATTAGTAGGAACATCATTGAAATCTATAACAAACAAAAATAATAACATAATTACGAGAAAATTAAACGACTCACTACATGAATTTGTATCTTTCAAAACATGAGGAAAAGTAGAAGACAGTTCTTCCTGGACATAGGCTTGGTGTGACCGTCTTTGGTCTTCTTCTAACTTGAAATTGGACACTCTAGAGAGCATTACAAATCGGAGGGAAGTAATGGCCAACAAGACGTAACACATGTCACGGTTAGCACGAAGTTGCTGTCATGAATTGTGAATGGTGGAAACATCTTAGCTTATTAAAGAATTTTTGAAAAACTTCAAATATACTGATGTAGTAGTAATTGGCCTACACTAGCTAGGAACTCACATGTACATACTGTGTAATGATTATCAGTGTCAGACAAAAGGCAATATTTACCATTAGCCTCTAAATGTCCTGGCACGACTGACGTTGGAGACGGCTCACTCTTTATCTCGAAATGCTTTCACATGGCCACGAGTATATAGATAATTTCAGGGAATTCCTACTTACTGTCTTCTCGCCGTTGTGGTATTGTTTACAAAAGTGAGAGGACGGAAAGCAAATGTCCTGTCCTTTAACCGGATTGTTGGGTACGGAAGATTCATCTAGAGGAGTTGGAAAACCCTGATTCCAAACTAATGGTGCACATGTTTTCCAGGATCCTGAGGGAACAAATGACGTACGAACCTAGTCTTGGTTACCGGTTACCATGGGACTGCATCCTTGAACGTTGCTTCATTGCTTTATGGATTAGGGCCTCTAGGTCAAAGTGTTGGACTGGCCAACTAAGAAAATCAATTACTTTGATTTGGGCACATGGACAGTGTACTAACACATACACAAATTGAATGATAATTACATTGTATAGAACATACATATTTTGGTGCTCCTTTGTGTCAAGATTTGTGTCTAAATGAGACAAATCAATAAATAGTTTTCTTGAACTGAAGGCACGCTCAATCAACAGGTCCTATCATAATGTTTGATTGTGAAGAGAAAACATAGGAAATATATAATTTCACAGGTTGAAATCATGAGTCAATTGAAGCTAGACCACCATGGTAAACCTGGAAGCACTGGACGGCCGTTTCGCCCTAGTACGGGACTCCTCAGCAGTGTGCATCCACGATCCCGCACCCCGCGAGGTTCGAACCCAGGACCTGCTGGTTTCGCGCGCGAGCACTTGACCACTGAGCCGGCATCCAAGGGTGTTGATGTCTAACTTTAACCAATCCACAAAGTTGCGCCGCAGTATACTATTGTCTTCAGTGAGCTGATATCTCACAACAGACCTGGTTGAACTCCACTGGTAAGTTAGACATTAACACCGTTGAATGCCGGCTCAGTGGTCCAGTGGTTAAATGCTCGCGCGCGAAACTAGTAGGTACTGGGTTCGAGTCCCGCGGGGTGCGGGATCGTGGGTGCGCAGTGCTGAAGAGTCCCATACTGGACGAAACGGCCGTCCAGTGCTTCCAGGTTTTCCATGGTGGTCTAGCTTCAATTGACTCATGAGTTCAACCTGTGAAATTTCTAAAAATCTCCACACAACACCCATTCTGTTAAAGTATTTAATTGTAAGAGCTTCTTGGAAAATTATTACCCCATTTGAATGGACGTAATGTAATCGAACAATTCTTGTTGTAATCAATTCTATTCACGTTTGCGACAAAATGTAATAATAGAGTTAACTGTTTATCCCTGAAATCCATTTACTAACCTCATGTCATCTGATAAGTTTGAGGGGTACAGAAACAACTTTGAGAATGCATTTTTTGAAAAAAAAAATTTGTCGAATATAAACGATTTACACTTGTTGAAAGAATACAGATTAAAATGAATGAAGTTATTTGATTAACTTTTAATGTAAACACCGAAAACATAGTCGGTATTTATCTATTCCGATTTTCCATTGTAATGTAAAAAGTTCATCAAAATAAAAAGGTGATGTATTTTAGATAACAAGTCATTTGACGTTATTCCATAAATATTGGAGGTGTAAAAGAGGTCATACTGACGTAGTTGGTTTTTGTGCATTCGATTTTACTCAATCTTTTTCTCTTGACATATCTTAATGTGGTATATTTAGCAAATTAGTTTGGTTCACATTGTGATGTCTAGACTAAAGAAATGAACTTTACAGATAAAAGATAATATCAGAAATTCATATGAAGTCAATTACAAATATGCACAGTGCAGTTAATGATTAAACGATCCGGTTCACAGAACAAAACACCTATTGAATCCTTCTTTTCCTCAGTCATGGGTATGAAGGCTGGTGTCACTTTCCGGCTGCCCACACCGTAGAAGGGTATTTCTTGAGGAACCTGAGAAGGAAGTTGGATTAGTGTTGACCTTAACAACCTGGGAGCATGATCACAGAGCCCAAATGACAACTGCTTGAGGCTGGTCACACATGGCCTTTTTGTGGGAATTTTTACCGTGTTAGCTCCGTTCTTTAAAGGGCCTTGCCGCCGGAGACAGAAATCCGTGAGTTAAGGTGAGGTGTGACATTTCTAGAGTCGACCTTTTCTAACCCCTTCCTTCCTTGTGAGAAGGCAGTATCGCTGCAGATGCTGGTTGTCCGAGGGAAACATCTTACTGCTGTCACACCCCTCTACAGTCAGCAGTACGACTCCGCCCTCAGACCTTGAGTTGCTGCTTTTAGTCTTACCGTTCTCCAATCGAAACATATGTTCCAACCAATAAAGCTCGGTTGGGTCATCACGATAGGCAAGCCTGACCACCGCGTCAAGGTAGCAGCTACAGTCCTACTGGCCTATGAATATCGTTTTCATTTCAATAGCATATGTATTTCTCCATTCATTAACGTAATCATTATTATTCTGTTGTATTTCTAATTACTTCTTCGATGGTATGTAGATATTTTTCTTCTTTGACTAGATCGAATGTTGAAACTTAGCTCTTTATTTATTTTATCAAACATATTAATTTCCGAATGAGAGTTTGTGGAGATTATAATAATTCTAATAGTTAAATGCATTAGTTGACCTAAGCTAGACAACCGTTGAAAACCTAGAAGCATTGGATGGCCGTTTCGTCTTAGTATGTGACTCCTCAACCGTGTGTATGCGTGAGGCTCCAACCCGGGACATTCGATCTCGCGTGAGAACGCCTAACCTCTAAACCATTGAGCCGGCATCCAACGGTTTTAATGTCTAACACCAAACGATCCATGATCTTGTGCAGCCATTCATTCATTGTCTGAGGTCGGTATTTATTTATTTATTTGAACGCATAGATATTGGTACAAGGAGGCACCAAATAGATATGCACCACACAAATCATGATTCGATTTGTGTGAGAGCTTGGATAATCCCCGGGTGCGCAAACCGAAGTAGGTGGTTTTCTTAGGGGGCCACACCCGAAGCCTTTGCCCCAAAGGTCTAATCCACGAAGCAGTGGAGCAACGTAAGGAAATGCAGGCCCATGGTAGTCCGTGACCAACAATAGGTTCATACGCCACTTGTTTGCTTAGGATCTTTGAGACCATGTACACCATTGGTTTAGAATCAGGGTTTTCCAACTCTGCTAGTTGGATCCTCCATATCCACCAACCCGATTGCAGCGCCGAACATTCACTTTTCATCCTCTCAATTTCATAAACAACACCCCCGCCACGAGGATGTAGTGAGTAGGACTTCCCTGGCAGAGACTATATACGCGTGGCCATGTGAGGGCATTTCGAGGGCGAGAGCGGACTCTCCTCACTCTCGGCCGTACCTGTATCTACTCGATACGGACTAGACTCCACTGGTTACGGCTTCACATTAGAATTCCAGGAAATCCATCTTAAAGCCAGTCACTAGTGAGTACATGATAATTATTATCAGAATAAGTGGTTTATAGAGATTGTAATAAATTTAATAGTTGAATTCATGAATCGATCTAAGCTAAACCACCATTGAAAACCTAGAAGTACTGGACAGTCCTTGGGTTCGAGCCCTACATACAGGATTTTGGATGCTTACTACCGAGGAGTCCTATACTAGGATGAAACAACTATCCAATACTTCTAGATTTTCAACGATGATCTAGCTAAGATTGACTCTTAGATTTAACTTATAAAGATATTCATTTCATTTATGAACAATAAAAATAACTAACCAAGTAGATTCTTTTCAGATGTTAATATGAAATTCTGTCCAATAGATGTCAATGAATCATTGAATTGTTGTTTAGTATTTGTTTGAGATAATTCATCAAATGATAATAAATCAAGAAAATTATCATTATCGGATTTCATTGAATAATAATTTTGTTGATTTATATCATTCATATTTATATTATTTTGATCATGATGATGATCTGAAAATTTATGCTGTCTTGCAGTAGATACAAATGATTCTAAACGTGTACGTTCTTCTTCAATAATACGTTGACGTTCTGTAGGAGTTAATATAAATTTATCTGATCCAGTTGAATAATCCAATGATTCGAAATCATTATTATTATTATTATTGGATATTGATGGATTTGTTGTTGGTTGTGGTTTTGGAGATATATTACTAGTTATTTTTCTGTAATATCAAGGAAAATGAAAAAAATGATAGATAAACACTATGGTGTCGTGTCGGTGATTATTTTAAGCCCATATTACCTTATTCTAGCTTTCGAATAGCTCATTCTATTCATTCTACTTGAGTCACATTCTGACCTTGTTATACGAGGAGAGACGACATATATATTTCAATATCAATCATCATTACAAACTTCTTGGAGTCAGATCACGAGCCACTAAAGTGGAGAGCCCTTTCGATAATATCGTTCGATCTAAACGACGATTAAATAACGGGCCCCACAATGGTTTTATCAATAATAGATTGTATTTATTAATTGTTAATTAATATTTATAATAAGAAAAATTAATTCAGCGAAAAGTTCTTTTTTCGGCGAATTCATTTTCAAAGATGTACAATCGCAAATATATATACTTATTTTTACAGGATGATAATACTTACTTACTTACTTAAGCCTGTTACTCCTCGTGAAGTAGCATATGCCGCTCACCAGCATTCTCCATCCAACTCTGTCCTGGGCAATCATTTCCAGCTACTTCCACTTGTTATTCATCCTTTTCATATCTGATTCCATTTCCCGACGTAATGTATTCTTTGGCCTTACACTTATCTGCTTCCCTTCAGGATTCCATGTTAAGGCTTGCCTCGTGGTGTAGTTTGACGATTTGCGTAGTGTATGTCCTATCCATTTCTATCGTCTTTTCCTAATTTCCTCTACAGCTGGAAGCTGGTTTGTTCTCTCCCACAAAAGGCTGTTGCTGATGGTATCCGGCCAATGGATGCTGAGTATCTTGCGTAGATAGCTACTTATCAATACTTGCACCTTCTTGATGATGGTTGTTGTGATTCTCGAAGTTTCAGCTCCGTACAGTAGAACTGCCTTGACATTCGTATTGAAGATTCTCACTTTGATATTGGTTGAAAGTTGTTTTGAGTTCCATATGTTTTTCAATTGTAGGAATGCTGTCCTTGCTTTGCCAATCCTCGCCTTTACGTCTGCATCTGAACCTCCTTGTTCATCGATGATGCTTCCCAGGTATGTGAAGGATTCGACATCTTTCAGAGTTTCGTCATCAAGAGTGATTGGATTGCTGTTCTCTGTGTTGTATTTGAGGACCTTGGTTTTCCCTTTGTGTATGTTGAGGCCTACTGATGCAGAGACTGCTGCTACACTGGCTGTCTTCATCTGCATCTGTTCGTGTGTACGTGATAGGAGGGCCAGGTCATCTGCGAAGTCCAAATCGTCTAATTGATTCTGAGCTGTCCATTGTATTCCGTGTTTTCCTTCCGATGTCGAGGTCTTCATAATCCAGTCGACCACCAGAAGAAAGAGGAAGGGAGAGAGTAAACAGCCTTGTCTGACTCCGGTCCTTACTTGGGATGCATCTGTCAGCTGTCCTCCATGCACGACCTTGCACTGTAGTCCGTCGTATGAGTTCCGGATAATATTGACAATCTTCTCAGGAACTCCGTAGTGTCGAATACGTTTCCATAACGTTCTCCTATCTACACTGTCAAATGCTTTTTTCATAATCAATCAAGTTGATGTACAGTGACGAGTCCTAGTCAACTGATTGTGCACGACCGATCCTTACAGAATCCAGCTTGTTGATCTCGAAGTTGGGCGTCTACTGGATGATAATAATACTGCTAATAAAATTCTTTTAGACAATGTGTGATAGGTTAAATAAGCAAAGTTATTAAAAAAATTCTTCAAAAAAAAACAAGTAAAGTTTAATAATCGTTTGATTGTTAATGGCATAAGTATTTATTGAAAGATAGATAGGGAAACGTATAGCTCAGTATGATAAGATAAATGTTGAAATTGAGATCAAATGTAATGAGGGTGATCGTGGAGACAAAATGAACCAGTTGGGGGTAGAAAATTTAAGGGGAAGATGGAGGGTGAGGCAGATGGCTGTAAACGAAGAAGAGTATGAAGAGAGAGAGGAAAAATAAAAAAAATTATAAGACATCAGGAGCATGGTAAAAGAAGGGGTTGTACCAGTCGTTTTTGCACACACAATTCCGATTTTTCCAGATGTATGGCTAATGCTTCGGCAATGTAAAGAAGATGCAGTCTAATGGTTCTTGGGAGACTTCTGCTTACCTTGTAGATGACTTTGAACGCAGAGTCTATCTTGATTGAGTGACCTGTGTTCACAAGGTGTTCAATTACTGAGCTTTTTATTGAGTCGCTTCCTACTCTTTTTAGCCATACCGGACAATGTCCTTGAATTCTTTTGGATAAAGTACGCATCGAACGACCCATATACCTAGCTCCACATGAGCAGGTAAATTGATAAATGCACATTGAGTTGGTCAGATGCGATAATTTATCTTTAAGATCATTGGTGAACAATGATCGGCTGGAGAATACTATTTGCAATGTTGCTATGGGGAATATTCTTTTTAAAGAATAGGAAATTCTCCTCTTTAGGGTGTGTGTGACTCTGTCGCCCTTGAATTCGATGTTAAAGTGCATTCAATAAACATATATACATGGGAAAAGTAGTTATCCAATACTTTTTGGTGTTAGGGACTTGACTTAATCACGAAAATTACCTGATATAAATGATTAAAAAAAATCCGCTTATATGTACACATTTATTGATCACTGAGTAATAGTAACCCAATGTCATATTTATTTGATGCTGATCACGTTTAGTCGATCAGATTGTTGTGTGACTATCCAAAATGAATATCACAGATCTGGATTCTATCAAAGACGATGATGATGATGATGATATGATGTTTACCAAGGATTTCATATTTGACTAAATATGTCCTATTGAATACATAGTTTACATAATCCAATAGCATATTAAATGAATGATATATTGTGAGGAAAATCTATTACAATAAACACTTACTTCTCAACTTGTTTATGACCTTCTAAGTATGTTAAATGTTCTTCAAGGGCTTCTAAAACTGATGGAGGGACCTAGTGATTAACGTAATATATTTCAAACAATTAGAACATACATATTGAACATGAAAAATAAAATGTCAAATTGGACAAATTAGAAGGAAAAGCAATATGAATTGCATTATTTTGGACAATAAATCAATATTCTCAGGGTAGATTTAGTGTGAGAATAAATGATATTTGAACACATTAAGGGGGAGGGGTTGAATCTACATATGATATCTAAGGCTTCAGTAAACCCTAGTATTTTCTCCTAGAGACTCTTATATGACACCATGAACGTTGATCCGATATCAAACAAACCTAAGGCCAGTCTGAACCCGACGTTTAAAAATGGACAAAGATGTTAACCTCTCTAGTGCTCTTATTAGAAATATTGTAATTCACTGGTTATTTTAGCCATTTAGGTATGTGTGTTTGGGCATCGTTACATGAAGACCACAACTGCTCCTTCCAAAATGTATCAATACATACATATAGAGTAATAAACACAATGGTATGTAACACACTTTTTGCATAGTGTTTAGGTTTTGGTAATGGATGAACTTTGACTTTTCAAAACTGAGTTGAACTGAGTAAAACGATCTATAGACCTATAATTTAAATTTTTGCTTCAACATGAGACTATTTGAGTTACATGTGAATGATAGGGTGATATGAAGACATGTGAGATTAGCGGTTGGATGCTTTTAGGTGACATGGTTCAGAGTTGTTCACGATAGCATCGATGCGAATACCTTTCCATTCTGTGTTTTCAAACTATATTCTAGATATTCAGTTGTTTTCTTTCTCATTACGAAAACATTATATCCATCTCTTTTTAATTTGTCTTGGCGTGGTTAATACGATAGGGCAACTTGAACCAACACATATCTGCACCATGTTCTACGTTAATAGTGACTGACTGACATGAAGATAAAAAAAGAATGTGAAGTTTGGTAATTGGAATTATGAAATCTCCTTGGGAAGAATCATTCTTTAATTTCCTTCAGGAAAAGAACGATACCAAAATAACTGAAATGAGGAAGTTATAATTTTGTTTAAACATTTTTCGTCTGACAATATTGCAGTTATCATGTCCATGGTATTTAGCTACTATTAAAATTGATAGTAGTATAAAAATAAATCATAGAATAACTAAGTAGATACTATCCGCAAGCAAGTGTGACGGTTATGATCAAGCGCTAAATTACTTGTTTATTCTACACTGCAAAAGATATTTTATTTACACTTACTGGCTTGAAAGGATTATTTTCTGAATCAATTGATAAGGGTGTGCCTCCAGGTTCAGCAGACTGAAGTAAAAAAAAGATCGAATGAGTTAATATCGATTCACAAGTATGTTAATAAGAGATATTTGTAAGGAAAGTATTCATGTTAAGAACTGTAAAAATACAGAGCAAGAAATTTCGTTGAAGCGATAAACAGTCTCAAACTTGTAGTGCAACAAAACAGGAACAAGAGAATGGTAAACTTAGCAATATACACGTATTTTATCACAATTAATTGATCACTGGTTGGTGATCAATGTCATGTGTGTCAAGTCCTTATTAGTGCAGATCGAATGCTATCGACCGAATTGCAATGTGGCCACTAGTCTAGGTGACTCGACATTGCGTGCACTATGTTGAGATTAGATGGTGGTTGAAGGTAGTCAGCAGGAAACCCTGGACGAGTGCCAAGTAGCACGAAACCCGGGTCCAGGGTTATTTTATTTTCACAACATACATTTTACAAAAGTAATATACAGAACGGATTGTTGTGCAGTCAACTGGTTCTTCAGTTTGCAGTACAAGTAGTGTAGGCTGAAAAAATATAAGTAATCTTTCTGGATCTATTAAGAGATTTTGTTACGAACTAGAATAACAGGGCTGATGAAACTCGCAAAACATATGAAGTGGTCGATTTATTTATTTATTTAAACATAAACATTGGTACAAAGAGGCACCATATAGATATGCGCCACATAAATCATTCGATTTATGTGAGGGCTGTGATACTGCCCAGGTGCCCAAACCGAAGCAACTGGTTTTCTTAAGGAGCTACACCCCGAGCCTTTGACCTAAAGGTCTGATCCACAAGGCAGTGGAGCATCGTGAAGAGATGCAGTCTCATGGTAGCCGGTGGCCAACGATTGGTTCATACGCCATTTGTTCTTTCAGGATACTGGAGCCCATGAGCACCGTTGGTTTGGAATCCGGTAAAAGTGCCGGACATTCGTTTTTCGTCCTCTCAATTCCGTAAACAACACCCCCACCATAAGAAGGCAGTGAGTAGGACTTCCCTGGCAGAGGCTGTATACGTGTGGCCGTGTGAGAACATTTCGAGAGGGAGGGCGGGCCCACCCCACTCTCGGCCGTACTAGTGCATTTGGGGATGTTGGTGTAAACAAGTCTTGAAGAAACTTTTTGAATCTAGAGGGTATGAAACGAATCTCAAATATACTTGTACCGTTACTCTATGTGAACAAAAGATTGTGTATTTTGTCAGCACCTTCACTAAGTAAGAATATATCATATCTGTGCATCCTTTATGCTTTGAAAGATAAGTCTCTTTTTGATGTGAATAGTTCATATATCTATTTTTAAAAAAAGCATTTATTCATCAGAACTGTAACCCTTTAACCATGTATTGAAGAATAAAGATCTTGGTAAGGGTAGATCAATGAGTTTTATGGTTGTTTAACGAAACATTGGGGGGGGGGTGATGGTGGAGTTGTGCTTGATATTTGTGTAAATGATAACAATTGTTCTAATGACATACTTATTATTGATGATGTAATTGTTAGTTTGGGATGAATATTGGGAAAATTTGAACTTTTCAGATTATTATCATTTATATCTCTTATTGTATAATTGTATAGTTGCAATTCTATATTAACCTTATCGTAAGCTTTCAGTGAATCTATTAACTGTTGCTATACATTTTTAATATCCTTTAATTATTGTCAATCACTTATGTACTATTTGCTCCACCCTTTTATCAATTATGATATGATTGTATGCTAAAGTATAACTTCTTATTAAGTGGTATGTGTATGTGTGTGTGGTTCAGTCAGTCAGTCAGTCAGCTACAACGTAGGACCACGCACATATGTGCATCGGTCCAGGTTGCCATACCTCATTAGAACAAGATGAACACCGGATTCATAGGAGTGGTTAGGTCAAAGGTTGCAATAAGGATATAGTATATGAAGGAATAATTAGTTCGTAGAAAGGAAGATATGAAGTGATTTTAATCTCTTAGTTTAAGGGAAGACAAAGAGTGTATACACCTACACCGTTGTTATCGATTCTGAATCATGTCACACAAAGTCTCCAACCATTGGTTACGATAGTCACGCGGACCCCAACCAAGTAGTCTGCATCTACCAACATGGCTCAGACTAGAAGTTAGTGACTTCAAGCACTGATGCCACGTTTTGGTTTGGCCGCCCCTAACTTTCTTCCAACCAACCCCTACACCGGTTAGCATTGCACGTCGTGGTAATCGGTGTTCAGGCATACGTAATACGTGGCCCAACCATCTCAGTCGATGAAGATTCATAACCTCATCAACTGATTTACCATCATTCCCTAACCTCACTATTACTTACCCGGTGATCCCAGCAGATGCCAGCAATATTTCTAAGGCATCTGTGGTCAAATACTTGTAGCTTACGGGTGTCTTCTACTCTTAAAGGCCATGTTTCGCTGCCGTAAAGTAAGACAGAACGGACTGCCGCGCAGTATACTCGTCCTTTTATTGATAGACGGATATCTCGCCTCCGCCAAAGGTGACGTAAGTTGGCAAAAGCCAAACGAGCTTTTCGAATCCGTGCTGAGATTTCGTCAGACACCAACCCATTAGGGCTGATCAGACTTCCAATATAAGTGAAGTTGTCGACGCGTTCGACTACTTCACTCCCTATCCTTAGTTCAGGTGTTGACGCACACCAGTCCTGAAGCAACAACTTGCATTTAGAGGGAGAGAAGCGCATCCCAAACATACTGGCATTGTTGCTTAGTGCTACCAGAAGACTCTGCATTTTGTCAGCGTCTTCACCAAACAGGACTATATCATCTGCGTATTCTAAGTCGATAAGTGGACCTCCTGGAAGGAGATCAATACCCGAGAATTCAGTCGACGAGAGTGTTATTTCCATCAATAGGTCTATGATGAAGTTAAACAAAAATGGAGAAAGTGGACAGCCTTGACGGACACCACTTGAAGTTGCAAAAGTAGATGACAGTTTGCCATAAGCCCTGACTCGACTAGTAGTGTTCGAGTAAAGAGCCTTCACAAGGTTTATGTACTTCTGAGGTACGCCTTTCAATGACAGACACTGCCACAGAGTCTCGCGGTCTACAGAGTCAAACGCTGCTTTTAAGTCAGGAAAGACCACCATCGTCGGACGCCGATAGGTATGCCTGTGTTCTAGAACCTGACGAATGGTGAATATGTGGTCGATGCAGCCACGACCAGGTCTAAAGCCAGCTTAATGAATACAGTGGTCTTGGGTGCTGTTAGAGGTATGAGGGCGGTTATCACTTCCCGGTTGCCCACACCGTGGAAGGGTTCTTCTGGAGGTACCTGAAAAGGAAATTGGATTAGAGGTGGTCTCAGTGACCTGAGAGCGTGACCGCAGTGCCCAAGGGACAACTGCATTTCAAGTACATTATTCTATGAGTTTCGAGTTATGATTTAATTAAGTACAATAAAGAACTAATCTGCTTCTCCCCCATCTACATCTGATTAATTACTGAGTAAGAACAAAGAATTTAAAGATCAATAAGTGTTGATTAATCAATATATCAATTAGTAAATAGATCTTAATCGATAATTGAAAGTTTAATTGGTGAATAATCTAGCACATAATATCGATCAACAATCTTAAATCATAACAAATTAATGATCACAAGACACAGCAATATTAATATGCTATGATGTTACAAAATATTTGTAATCCAAACAAAAGAAAAAAAAACAAAATGAAATACACAAAACCAATGAATCACTGAATTAATTACCTCAGCAACTCTTACAAATGTATTCATAGATTCCATACGTTTTAGAAAATTCTTATAAATCTCTAATGATACCCGACAATCTCGTTTGGACATAGTGAAATATCGACCTGTGTGCATATCATTAAATAAATAATATATATAGAGGGGGGGGTGATTTATATTTACACACAAGAAAAAAACAAACAAACAAAATTAGAATATCATTATTCAATTAAAAAGTAATCAGGGCTTGGAGAACGGTAGTATCATGTTTCTTAGACAATGTATATGTAATGAAGCAGGATGAGTATCTTGCTTCGGTCAGGGTACCCGAGCAAATATCCCGGCCTACATAAAAATCAACTGACTTGTGAGGCGTATATGTATTCAGTGCCCCTTTGTACCAATATTTATGTGTTCAAATAGAAATAATAAAAGGATGAGTATTGTTTAGACTAGTCCAGGAATAATAATGGCATTAATGACTGAATGTTATGCTAAAAATTCCTTGAGTACGGTGATCCTAAGACTACCATCAAGCATTTACTTAGGATTCATCTTATTGATTATTATTATCAATGGTTTTATTCAATATTATATTTTTAGTACAATAGGTTTCCTTTTCTGATGACTTGATCGATTCTGACGATAATATTTGAAATCTTGAAGTGATACTAAACGATTGTCTTGTAAATCATTTAACTAGGATTCATGAATTGCGATTACACCACAATTACGATACATGTTTAGACTTAGTAGGAATTGAAGACAGTTCAACTTGCCAATTAGTGATCGCTAATTAGATGTAAGTAGTTCAGGAATCCACATGTGAATAATGATGCCACTGATTAAAATTTTTTTGTAACTTGCGCAGTGAAAGATCGTAAACTTTTCATAAATGTGCCTGAATAGACTATGCTATTAATAAACGTAATGATGTGTTAAAACAAACAAAACAGATAACTTGCTTAAATATCTAGATGGTAAGAGAAAAATGTAGTCTAAATATTTAAGCAGGCCGCCTTCAGACATCTGCTACAACAAACTGAGGAGTAAAATCAGTAAAAAAAACAAAGAAGCCGTGACCAGTAGAGTTAATCAATGTAGGGTAGAGACAGGTATCTAACTCAGTACAATGGAAGATGGTCGTGCGATTTCGTGGAGTGGTTGAGGTTAGACATTAACACCATTGGATGCTGATTCAGTGGTCTAATAGGTAAAGCATTCGCGCGCAAGACTGAAGGTCCTGGGTTCGAATCCCGCGAGCGAGGTCGTGGATGAGCACTATGGAGGAGACCCACAATAGATCGAAACGACTGTCTAGTGCTCTCAGGTTTTCAATGGTGGTCTAACATTGATCGATTCATCGTTTCAATAAAACCAAGGGTTCACATTATAATATCTAAGGGTATGCAAAAATGCATATGTGTATGTCAAGTAAGTTAGTAGGGGAGTTACCGTAGAGACAGCTTAGTTGAATATAAAGAATACCAATGAATTCATTTGAATCATTTGTATGGTAACACGAAAAACTTTAGACACATACAATTGATTTGTAGTAAGAGTGATTAATCACACCCAACTCTATATTCATTTTCAAGTTTACTTTTCATAGAAACTTTTTGATCATCAATAAAATGTATGACACTAAAGTACAATAAATTTATTAAAAATGAAATTAAAATAAACTCAATTTTACAAGCTTAAATTGTTAATTTGAATCATCATTTAGATAATTGGAACAGTGACTTAATAATACAAGTACTTGATTTCCAATCACACTATACGACAGATTTAAACCTTACTCTATATATTTTGATTTGATCAATCAGGGAGTATTTTGGTGTATGCTACTTATATCGACAGATATTGAATTGAAGAAATTTAGAAGTGAAAGAAACATAAAGGATGTCAAGAACAACCATTCGATTTGTGTGAGCGCTGGGATACTGCTCGGGTGTCCAAACCAAAGCAGGTGGTTTTCTTAAGGGATCACAGCCGGAGCCTTTGACCTAAAGGTCTGATCCACAAGGCAATGGAGTAACGTAAGGAGATGCAGCTTTACGGTAGTCGGTGATCAACGATTGGTTCATACTCCATTTATTTCCTCATGATCCTGGAGTCTATATGCACCAGTGGTTTGGAATCAGGGTTTTCCGATTCCCGTAGGTGAACCCTTCATGTTCACTAACTCAGTTAAAGTGCCGGACATTCGCTTTTCGTCCTCTCAATTTCGTAAACAACACCCTCGCCACGAGAAGGCAGTGAGTGGGACTTGCGTGGTAGTGGTTGTATGCACGTGGCTATGTGAGAGCATTTAGAGAGGGAGAGCGGATTCTCCTCACTCTCGACTGTACCAGAGCATTTGGGGGTGTTTATTCATTACAATATCACAAATTCTTGAATTAAAAGTATGACTTGCAGTCAAATATATGAATTTGTACTTTTTTTAATGAGTTAATATGTATATTTGCATTGGTTCAATTGTTAGACCACATTAGGTTAGTGAGATGAAATGATTATGACAAATTTCAAAGTAGTAAAAGCAGTAGTGTCGTGTATGTGCTACTTATATTGGCAGTAAGTTGAGTTTTCCCCATCTAAGTTTCGTTCACTACAATAACAGTAACAATAGTAGTACGAATGATTAAACATACAGACAATTATCAACTGATTTGAGCATCTGTGGCTAGTAAATAAGGACTAATCAAAGCAATGTTCACTTAATGATTTTAACATACACGAGTAATTCTTTATTCTTCTTCATCTGTTAAAACTGTTATACAGATATGAGTTTAAGATTCCATCAATAAACAATGCCAGGTATGTTTTATTCCTGACGCCTTTTAAATCTTTTTTTCCTTATTTTAAATCAAAAATGCAACAATTAATTCATCGAATGATAGAAATGTTCCTGATCTGAGATACACTACTTTGTTAAGAGTTGTATATATCCATATAAAAATTTGTGTCTGTTATTAGCTGAAACAAGAGACTTTCCTAAGTTATTCGCCATTTTCAGCATACATATCATAACTACTTAATCGAGCCATATAGGCTGGAATACTTGAGCCTTTAGGTCCTATCATTCCGGATAGATTATTTGGAGAACGGGTAAGACGAAAAGCAGTAGACTAAGGTACGAGGATGGAGTTGTATTACTGACTATGTTAGGATATTATAGGAGTAAAGTGTTTCCTCCAGACAACCAACGTCAGCATTGATGCTGTCTTCTCACAGAGGAGGGGATTAGAAAAGGTTAGCCATAAAACTGTTACATATCACCATACTCTATGTGTTCCCAACCCCGGAAGTAAGGCCTTCATTTATAACTACCCACAAGAAGATCGTGTGCAAGTGGTCTGAAACAGTTTTCCCTTGGTATATGCGGTTACGCATTCCCGTCTCCAAAACCACTACTAATCCAGTTTCTTTTTCATAACAAAGTAAGTAAACGAAGATTTTTCAAAGTATAAAATACACTTTAGTGGATGTATGAAATACGAGTGATCACGTTATAACTTTTGGCCTTATGCTCTATTAATATATAACGTAATGATACCGTCAATCAGAACAGTAACTTATCGACAGGACCGATGACGCACAAACTCGTACGAGAAGTCTATAGTCCTTATCACTCGTTCTTCCTTCCTAGCCCTGCCAATTGAGTTCAGAACACAAATAGCAGCCTCCGCAATATGAATTGTATATTTCAAACATACTGTGTTTATATACAAGCCAAACGGACCATATCACTACATGAAATAGGAAATAACGATTGTACAAGATCGAGCCAAAAAGTGACTGTGATAGTGTGAGAGACTGTACCTAATAGACTGAGTGTAACTTCAGAATGATAAGTCGTATAATAATAGTCCATGGGTCGAAATGAAGCTTATAATAGGAGGAATATGAATATACATAGTTTAGTTGCTTAACAATTATACAATAGAAATATATGTACAGTATTAGTCTATAAATAGATCCCAACAGTTGCTATTCATTATTCTCGTCGGGATATAACAGGTCATAATATGACAAGATATTTAAAACGATTAGATATACATCGATCCGTACCAGTGCGAACAATATCTAGCATTCGTTAAATTCGTTAATCAAGTACAGGCTTATCATACACTTAGCTATGAGCGCTTACATTATTTTTGTGAGAGCTGATTGACAACTAACTTAACCGTTTAAACCTTGAGTGGCTTTGAGTACTATTAGAGGTATGAAGATAGTTTTCAATTCCCGGTTACCCACACCGTGGAAGGGTTTGTCTGGAGGAATCTGAAAAAGAAATTGGGTTAGAGTTGGTCTTAGTGACCTGACAGCGGGAATGTAGTGTCCAAGGGACAACTGATTGAGGCCGGTCACATACAACCTTTTTGTGAGTAATTTTCATGTTAGCTCCGTACTTGTTGGGACCTTACCACCGGAGATGGAAATCTGTGGGATGAGGCAAGGTGTGCATTTTTTGGAATCGATCTTTTCAAATCCCGTCCTTCCCTGTGGGAAGGCAGCATTGCTATTATGCTAGTTGGTTGAAGGAAACATCTTACTGCTGTCACACATCTGTACCGTCAGCAGTATGACTTCGTTTAAACCGAAATGGATGGAGCAAGATTCGAAACTAAAACCTATTCCTTGGAAATTGAGCACTTTGATCACTAAGAAAAAGGTAGCACAACAGAGAAAATCCTAATTGTGCTCTTTCATCTGTTGAAATAAAAGTTAATTAAACAAGAAAGAAAAAAAACAACTAATACTACCATTAAAATAAACAATAGAAACTTACCAATTAGATTAATCATACCCTCATTATACACAGCGTATAAACGAATTAAATCTCGATAAAGAGATAAATGAGCAACTCGAAGAAGTGAATTCGACAATTCATTAAGTGTAGCCTAAAAGATTATTATGAAGTAATAATCATCATCATGGGAAGGCTTGAAATTCAGAATATATATACATGTACATGATTATGTAATAGAAATATTAGAGATCATTTGTACTTACATCGAACATAAGTAGAGCATCTAATTGTTTCTCAATAACTGGTAAAGTTTTCATTAGCTAGTAAGATTTAATAAAAGAAGATAAGCAACAATAAATGTGAATAGTAATATTGAAGTCTATATTTTTACTAAGAAATAACAATGAAACATAATTTGAGTGCAAATTTTCAATATTGAATGACATCAATTGAAGAATTATTGAAGTACAAAGAAAAGCACGACTAGTATTTCAGCTTATACATACGTATCACTATGGGGTTGTGGAGATTATTAAGTTTTTGATTGAGATCTTGAACTGATTGATGCTAGATCAGTTGAGTGGAACTCGTCACTGTACATCAACTTGATTGATTATGAAAAAAGCATTTGACAGTGTAGATAGGAGAACGTTATGGAAACTTCTTCCACTCTACGGAGTTTCTGAGAAGATTGTCAACATTATCCGGAACTCATACGACGGACTACAGTGCAAGGTCGTGCATGGAGGACAGCTGACAGATGCATCCCAAGTAAGGACTGGAGTCAGACAAGGCTGTTTACTCTCTCCCTTCCTCTTTCTTCTGGTGGTCGACTGGATCATGAAGACCTCGACATCTGAGGGAAAACACGGCATACAACGGACAGCTCAGAATCAACTAGACGATTTGGACTTCGCAGATGACCTGGCCCTCCTATCCCATACACATGAACAAATGCAGATAAAGACAGCCAGTGTAGCAGCAGTCTCTGCATTAGTAGGCCTCAACATACACAAAGGGAAAACCAAGGTCCTCAAATACAACACAGAGAACAGCAATCCAATCACTCTTGATGACGAAACTCTGAAAGATGTCGAATCCTTCACATACCTGGGAAGCATAATCGATGAACAAGGAGGTTCAGATGCAGACGTAAAGGTGAGGATTGGCAAAGCAAGGACAGCATTCCTACAATTGAAAAACATATGGAACTCAAAACAACTTTCAACCAATATCAAAGTGAGAATCTTCAATACGAATGTCAAGGCAGTTCTACTGTACGGAGCTGAAACTTCGAGAATCACAACAACCATCATCAAGAAGGTGCAAGTATTGATAAGTAGCTATCTACGCAAGATACTCAACATCCATTGGCCGGATACCATCAGCAACAGCCTTTTGTGGGAGAGAACAAACCAGCTTCCAGCTGTAGAGGAAATTAGGAAAAGACGATAGAAATGGATAGGACATACACTACGTAAATCGTCAAACTGCATCACGAGACAAGCCCTAACATGGAATCCTGAAGGAAGGTGGAAAACAGGAAGGTCCAAAAACACATTACGTCGGGAAATAAAAGCAGATATGGAAAAGATGAATAACAACTGGAAGTAGCTGGAAATGATTGCCCAGGACAGGGTTGGATGGAGATTGCTGGTGAGCGGCCTATGTTCTTTCACGAGGAGTAACAGGCGTAGATGTCAAATAACTACAATCAATGTAAATATGCAGTGATTTATCGGTTTTGAGTTTTATACAGCAATTTAACTACATCAACTGTCTTCATAATCCAGGAGATGAGATATATCCCAGAAGTAAAACTACCCAACCAAACTTAATATGAGTACAATAAAATGTATATGAGAGTAAATAGTTATTTCGTATACTATAATGACAAATCAATCATATTTGAGATAATACCTTTTGGACTAACAGTTGATAGTAATTATTAAGACTATAATTTATGAACAACCTTTGAGCAATGCTTAATCGATCTTAAGAATGTCGACCTATTTACCAATGTTAAAAGAATGTGAGGGATTATGATTAGGATTTACAGTTCAATGTTATGGTTAGGAATTCGAGTTAGAGTTCTCATTACGAACCGACATCGAACGTAATAGTAAAATGCTATTTAGTCATATAGATGAATGGATTTCATGCCAAAATACAAGACGCACTATCTTAAATCTATATTGATCCGTCCATAATTTATGGTCGCGCTCATCCACATTTCAAACTACAGAAAAATCTAGTTCATGATCAGAAAATGATGTGTAAATAATTTAGGTAGTTTATCTGAAGAAATCACCATAATATAGGATGATTTTACTAGTTAATGAGTGAAATTGAAGAACAAAATGTTGATCGATAGATGATAACACATATACACACAATGATACAATGCAGCTGAGTGATAGCTACTAACGCGGCCATTTTTATTAACCTAACAACAAGAATGATTAGAAATTAAAAACAAGACCGGCTAGCCAGAAGATTTGACCTTTTATGAAATGAAATAATATTTTTGTATACAAAAGATTAACATAAAAGAGAACATGATAACATGTTACAGGTGATTGATTGAAGGAAATCAATTTGTGCGCCGCTCACTCTACAATTAATTAAGATCCGATTGTTAGGAATAATTCTTGGGCACTGTATCACCCCTCTTCAAAAATGATGTAGAATCTTTCTGTAGTGACGGAGTTTCTTTTCCATCTAAAGATTTTGACCACATGATTGAAGTGATGTTCAAGGTACTTGCCTGATAAGGAATAAAGTCAACTTTTTTCTCTTCCCTTTTGAAACTGAACGTTTGTTATACGGTATTGATGTGCTGTAACTGAAAACGTCAATGGTCAATCTGAGGCATGTGCCGTACACTTAGCTAAGTGTTATGAAACCACTATTGAAGATTTTGAACTGTAAATTGAAAAGTTTTCAGGAAACTTGGACTACGAATGTCAATTGGAAGTGACTTTAAGACTCATAACCAACTTTATTACATTATCGGTTGCAATCACTGCATTAGTACGAAAACTTTGATTTTCATCTGTGATGATTTTCTCTCCTAAGCTGTATTTGACTTCGAGCTAATAACTTGTGAGTAGTGTACAGATTTTGATTACCGCGGGTATAAAATAAAATAATATAAATTAACCCATTTACTAGGTACTTATTCGCGTATAGAGTCTAATAGGAATATTTGGTTTCCCAAATCTAAGTAAATGGGGTGGGGTTCGAATCCGGGAGTTAATGATTGAAAGCTAAACATTCTAAGCACTAAACCACTGCTCCACTTATGCAATAGTAATTTTGATAAGTTCGATCTGAGATTGTATCAAATGTGAAGGTATAACGATTTCCACTTACATAGAATACGGGAGTTTATGATTTTGTATTGATAGACACTAGTAATTTATATGCTAACATACAGTATGTGGTTTCTAAATCAATAGATTGTTAACTTCTTTAAATTAACCGGTAGACATACATAACGTTCATTGTCCATTTTATTAGTTTGACCTTTATAAATTTAGATCTTTTGTATGCAACATAAACAAAATAGACCGCTCTCAATCTCTATTCACAATCTTGTTAAAAAAAAACACAAAAATGAACATGCTTTTAATGCGATAAAAACTATTGAATCACGTTCATACTGATGGAAACGGTTGGACATTGTTTAATCAAATCTGACTGATTTTTCCTATACAAAGTGTAAACATTAATTTTATCTTTTGATTAAGATCATGAACCGATTGATGTTAGAATACCATTGAAAACCTGGAAGCACTGAACGGCCGTTCTGTCCTATTGTGAGACTCCTCAGCAATTCACATCCACGATCCCTTCCGCGAGATTCGAACGCAGGGCCTTTAATCTCACGTGCGAATGCTTAACTTACTAGACCACTGAGCCGGTATTCAATGGTTTTGATGTCTAACTTCAACCAATCCACGAAATTGCGCGACCATCCTCCATTGTACTGAGTTAGATACGTGTCTCTACCCCACACGGATTAGCTCCATCAATTGGTTCAAGATCTCAATCAAAAACTTAATATCCACAACCCCTATACTGATAATTAATTTTACCATTAGTATGGTGGATTTGTGGAGATTGTAAAATTGTTTTTTACAGTACAAGTTGCTGATCTCAGTTAGACCATGATTGAGAACCTGGAATGATTGGATGACCGTCTTGTTCTTGCATGAAACTTTTTATAATAGTGAGGATCCGCGACCACGTACGCAAGAAGCGAAAGCTAAAACTTCAAGCTTCGCGCTCGAACGCTTAACTCCTACACCACTGAGCCGGTATCTAATGGTTTTAGTGTCTAATTTCAATCAGTTCACGATATTTCGAAACCCTCATCAATGACCTGTGGTGGATGACTATCATACATCCGAAATGGATTGGAATCCGCTAGAACCACAAGAGTTACATTTTAGAAGAGTCCCATATTAGGGAGAAATGACCATTTAATGCTTCCAAGTTTTCAATAGTGATCTAGCTCAAATCAATTCGTAATTTAAGCTGAAAATTATTTAAATGATTGGAGTTAAACCAACTATTTATTAATGAACAATATTTAATCAGTCAGTCAGTCAGTAACAACGTAGAACTTCGTACGTACGTACATCAGTTCGAGTTGCCACACCACATTAGCACAGAGATGGACTTGTCGATTCAAATCCCGTAGTGATAGAGGTAATAAGAGTATAAGCAGTAATCGGGAAGATTAGGGTTTGGAGATGTTATTTAAAGAGTATAATCCAGTGAAATAAATTTGGAAAGAGGAAAAAAGGGACATGAAGAATTCAGAAGATTAGAGTTTGGGAGAACACAGAGAGTGGATGCACCTGCGCCATTGCAAACGATTTTGAGCCATGTCATTCAGGGTCTCTAACCATCGGTTGCTATCATCTCGCGGTCCCCAACCAGGTAGTCTACACCTACCAACATGACTCAGTTCACTTGTCAGTGACTTCATGGACTTGTGCCATGTTTTGGTTTGGCCGCCCCTAGCTTTCTTCCAACCTACTCCTATACCACTGAACATAGCACGTCGAGGCAGTCGGTCGTAGGGCATACGTAACACGTGTCCCAGCCATCTCAACTGATGAAGTTTCACTACTTCATCAATTGATTTGCCATCCTTACCTAGTACCCGTTTCCTAACAACTGTGTTACTTACTCGATGGTCCCATGATATACGAGCAATGTTTCGAAGACACCTATGATCAAATACTAGTAACCTACGGATATCCTCTACTCTTACCGGCCATGTTTCACTGCCATAAAGTAGGACGGAACGAACTGCTGTGCAGTAAACACGTCCTTTGGTTGATAGACGGATATCTCGCCTACGCCATAAATGACGCAAGTTGGCAAAAGCTAGTCGAGCCTTCTGTATCCGTGCTGAGATTTCGTCACACACCAAACCACAAGGGCTGATGAGACTTCCAAGATAAGTGAAGCGGTCGACACACTCAACTACTTCACTCCCTATCACTAGTTCGGGTGTCGATGTAACCCAATCCTGAAGCAACATTTTGCATTTCGAGGGAGAGAATCGCATCCCGAACATGCTTGCATTGTTGCTTAGAGTGGTCAGAAGACTCTGCATTTTGTCAGCGTCTTCACCAAATAAAACTATGTCATCTGCATATTCTAAGTCAACAAGTGAACCTCCTGGTAGAAGTTCAACCCCTGTAAATTAAGATGAGGAGAGTGTTATCTCTAAAAGTACGTCAATGACGAAGTTGATTTAGATCAGATGATTTTGATTTAAGAGAGATCTTGGAAAAGTAGTTATATTAGTTTGGATAAAATTCTGTATGATCATTTGATTTACCCGAATCACAATTAATTTATTATTGCTATCCTGAAACTATTTTATTTTATCCATTTCCAATGATTACATAACCGTTTGTGTACTTTATTCAAAGTAGACATCTCTATAGTGACTAGTACACTATATTACAAACACTTCGAGGTTAAAATAACTCAATTCACAGTAAAAAAATGCAGTTTTTCTAAAAGATAGATGCAACTGTTTAAAGAAACTTTGGCAAAACTATAATTCACGGACGAACCAATCAGATTGAGGATAACTGGTCTTAGATTTTGGCGCGAAATTCACTTATCCATTTGAATAAATAGTTTTGGCATAATAGCTGATATCAGTTCGTGATAAAAACTTAAAATCTAATCCCTAACCTTAACCATCAACTGTAAATCATAATCCTTATTCTTCAAACTGCTTTATAGCCTCCAAATGCCCTGGTACGGCCGAGAGTGGGGAGTCCATTCTCCCTCTCGAAATGCTCTCACATGGCCGCGTGTATATAGTCTCTGCCAGGGAAATTCTACTCAACTCCTCGTGGCGGGGGTGTTGTTTACGAAATTGAGAGGAAGAAAAGCTAATGTCCGGCACTTTAACCGGGTTGGTGAACATAGAGAGTCCACCTAGGGGAGTTGGAAAACCCTCATTCCAAACCACTGGTGCACATGGGCTCCAGTATCCTGAGGGAACAAATGGCGTATGAATCAATTGTTGGTCACCGGCTACAATGGGACTGCATCTCCTTATGATGCTCCACTGCCTCGTGGATCAGACCTTCAGGTCAAAGGCTCCGGTTGTGACCTCCTAAGAAAACCACCTGCTTCGGTTTGGGCACCCAGGCAGTATCACAGCCCTCACACATATCGAATGAGATTTGTGTGGCGCATATGTATTTGGTGCTTCCTTGTACGTGTTAAAATAAAAATAAATAATAAAAACTGCTTTATAACCCTCATTTAGCCCTAGTAAGTAGGTAGCGTCGCTTAAAGGTCGTCCATAAATTAAAGTGTCACCGGAATTATTTGTTTTTAGGGATATTTTCTAGTTAAAGAATGGTCTTATTGGCGTCCGTTACTGAGAAAGCTTACAAGTTTTTGATTACATTGATAATAAGAAAACAGACGTTTTAAACAATCAACAAAGTAATCTTCATTTTTAAAAAATGTATCATGACTTTGAATCAATGCATTTCTAAATGATATCAATGACTAGCAAGTTGTTTGAACAGGTCAGACTGATTCACCTCTTTTTCTACTAAGAACACTATTGTCAGCTTTCATTAATAGCATTACTCGATAGTTTTACTGGAGACGAAAAATGTATTGGCACTACTTATGTTCTAAAGAACTTTTATTATATGATAATAAACGACTAATATAGACATACTGATCACATATCGAGTTATTTAATCCAACAATCAAAATTAATCGTTTAGCCTAGATCACAACTATCGCTACCGATTGTCATTCGAATAACTTCTGGGCAGTTTAATTTGACAAATCATGTTTGTTTTTACGAATTTTCTAACTAGATAGTAATGATTCTATTCGATAGGGAATTTCACGAAATTCTAAAAGAAGGAATTATGAAGTCAATGAAGTTAGTTGATATACGGATGGAGGATTAATGGTTATACTGAAGTTGAATATACGAACTGTTAGATGTTTACAATTCAGTACGTAACTGATACTTCAAGTTTGATTTTGTATAGAATTGTAGATGATAATTGACAAAAATTCTAATGGATATCCCAGAAAATTTAAAAGATGAAATTCGAACTCGAACTAAATCAATTGATATGTTGAATGAAAGTACTAATGACTTACTTTATCTTGAGGCATTGTTCGCATATCACCATCTTCTTTCCTATAAAACATAACGATAAATCTGATGTATAATTAACTGTTTCTCCCTTCTTTTTAATTAATATTTGATAAACTATTAAAAATGGGAAAACAATTGCCAAAAAGAAACAAAAATAAAACAAAGTACTGATAATAATCGAAAGATGACAAGATAAGAACTGAGTACAATGATTGATCCAAGGTCTGAAGGTGAAGTCGTACTGTTGACTGTACAGAGGTGTGATAGCAGTAAGTTGTTTCCCTAAAACAGCCAGCATAATAGCAAGGCTGCCTTCCTACAGAGAAGGAGGGGGTTTGAAATGGTCGACTCCAAAAAGTGCACACCTCGCCTTATCCCACAGATTTCCATCTCCGGTAGTAAGGTCCCAACAAGTACGGAGCTAACATGAAAATTACTCACAAAAAGGTTGTATGTGACCGGCCTCAATCAGTTGTCCCTTGGACACTACATTCCCGCTGTCAGGTCACTAAGACCAACTCTAACCCAATTTCTTTTTTAGGTACCACCAGAAGAATCCTTCCGCAGTGTGGGCAACCGGGAATTGGAAACTGCCTTCATACCTCTAACAGCACTCAAGACCACAATCATTGACCAGTTTAAGTGATACTAAATCATATCAAAATAAATAGAAGAGGGAATAATGTAAATAATAATTAAATCGTACAGAAAAAAATCAAAGGTAAAAACACTAAGAGATAATGAGTAGACTTATTGTGTTACTGTTGCGTTCTCTATTTGATTACGACCGGACATTAACGTTATTTATAATATCACTATAATTAAACCAATCTACAAGGAGGCAAGTTATGCTACCATACAATCGTAGAATGTCACGTTGATGTTCTAGAAAGCTCTATCAGGTTCCGATTGGATAAGAACTCTTAGACTCCTTTAGAACCTCCGGAGGATTTTTCGTGCATCTCGAAAGTCCTCCCGACAGTTACTATGAGTGATAACAAATCATATCAGCCTCTATTAATCACATTTATTGTGCATACTTTAGAAAGTTAACAGGTACTGTAAATATTGTAAGCTTTGAGTTTAAGAATTTATAGATCTATTGACACTTATTTTGTTAAGTTGACACTAGATGGTTACACATCTAGAAGACAAATATATTGGATAGATAGAAAGTTATAACAGCTAAATTGATAGAAATTTTTTAATGAGTGAATATGGGTAGAGGGAAGAGATAGCTAGGAAATGTTTTCAAAATATACTTTGAATAATTACACTTTAAATGTATGTTAAAGAGATGTTTATTGTAATTTTGTTACGTCGTTGATTAATCTACCCACTAATTTACGCAAAATAACTTGTCTCAATCCAGATTAAAGCCTTGATACGATAGGCCAACTTGTTTAGCCTTGACGCTAGAAACGTGTAAGTTCCAAGTGACAATAACTACCTTAGTTAGAGAGACGAAAACAATCCTATCACCCGATCGCTTGATAAATGAGAAAGATAGAGATAAGATGAGTCAACTAAAACACTACTCGGTTCATTCCTGATTCCGATTTCCAATTTACAACTCACAACTCCAATTCAGATTAGTGCAGAATGACACACGAGCAAATAGATGACTAAAATACAATGATATTTGTATGTCTATACGAAATTATTAAACCAATCAAGGCAGTTTATGATTCAATGATAACAATAGAATAGATTACATAAATAAGCATAATAAGTAAGTAAGTACAAATTGGTAGTGTGATGACAAGTGTACTAGTTGTGATGATAATAATAAAGGCTTAAGTTAATGTCAGTTGAAGCTAGACCACCATGGGAAACCTGGAAGCACTGGACGGCCGTTTCGTCCTGGTATGGGACTCCTCAGCAGTGCGCATCCACGATCCCGCCCTCCGCGATATTCGAACCCAGGACCTATCAGTCTCGCGCCAGGCGCTTAACCAACTAGACCACAGACCCGGCATCCAACTCACTGAAGACACTGGTGTACGGTGGCGCAACTTCGCGGATTGGTTGAAGTTAGACATCAACACCATTGGATGCTGGCTCAGTGGTCTAGTTGGTTAAGGGCCTGGCACGAGACTGATAGATCCGGGGTTCTAATCTTGCTGAGGGCGGGATCTTGGATGCGCACTGCTGAGGAGTCCCATACTAGGACGAAACGGCCGTTCAGTGCTTCCAGGTTTCCCATGGTGGTCTAGCTTCAATTGACTAATGATTTCAACCAGTGAAATTCCTAAAATCTCCACAAAACCCCTTCTGATATTAAATCAATGTTACATAATCGGAAATAAGTCGATGATTAGAAAAATATAGACACTGAAATAACATTCATAAACATTATAAGATTACGTAATAAGATGTGTTCAGATAACTAGACAATGAAACGTATATTTGGAAAAGTGTGCAAGGGGGTGAAGAAAAACAAACGAATGAGTACGGAAAATAATGATGAATAAAATCATTTACTAAGGCCAAGGGAGAGATAAAGGTGTTACAAATACCTTATGAACAAAAAGACTTGGATTGTTAGCTCGAATTATTATAGCTTCTGCTATGTGTAAGAGATGAGATCGAACACCAGAAGGAAAACTAGTAGGAATATGACAAATCACTTTAAATGATCTATTTCTGTCTACTACATAACCGATATCCATGAAGTGTGATAGGACAGAGCTACGTATTGTTTTGACAGTACCTTTTCCTAACCACGAAGGGAGGTGTTCACTAACTCGTTGGCTCAGTTGTCTGGTAGTGCGCCCAATATAACTTTCTCCACAGGATCATCTGTATTCGCAGATACAAACTGATGCGGTAGAACCAGGTAACTTATCCTTAAGTTGAGGAATCACCATGGATCGAGTGGAGTACAATAGACAGAGGTTGGCTGCATTAAACGTTCTCTTCACTGCTCTAGTCAGTCTATTACGTAGCACATCAGCTACATCTTCATTGAATTGCAGCTTCAGGAATAGTTTTCTTATTAGCCGTTGGTATCGCTACTTTCATGTTTGTTACATGCAAGTGCTTCTTCAGGGAACCTTGTGGGTAACCCATTTCAATCAACATATTATGAATAAGCTCTAGTTCCTTGCTTATAGTATCGACTGAGCATATCTTTGTAGCTCTATTTGACATGCATCTGATTAGGTTTCTCTTATAATGAATGGCTACAAAGCCCAAGAAATGTGTGTATTGGTTTGCTGAAGAACTTTTCCTATATACACTTCTATTGATAGAACCACTTTCTTTTCTCTTTAACAAAACGTCAAGGAAATATAGTTGATTACCAAGTTCCTCTTCACAGGTAAATTCGACTGCTGAGTGTTCATTGTTAAATAGCTCTAGGTGTTCTTCTTTTCCAGTGTTCTGATCGACGATAATGAAAGTATCATTAATGTAACGACAATAAAAGTCAACAACTACGTGAAAAACAGATCGATATTAGAATCCCTGAGAGTAGTCTCAAAGAATTGTTTCTGAAGTGTACAGTAAACGTCTTTTTTGTCCTCAATAATACATATTATAGACAAAGTGATGGAATAGCGATGGGTTCACCTCTAGATCCTATTCTTGCTGAATTTTTTTCTTGCGAAACGAGAAAACGAACCTCTCAAATAGGTTATCGATAAGCTTGACTTTGCCAACGCGTGGAGAAAATATTACAAGAAATGGGCATACTACTGTGAATAATAACAGTAGTAATAATGACTACTATCAAAATGTACGAGAATTCATGCCGTTGTACTTCAAAATACGTTTTTGTTCGAGTCGGATTAAAGTAGACACTGCAATCAGATGGGCAGCAGCGAAAAAATGCTACAATAACTTACCCGCGTTTTAAACGACAGAAGTCGAAGGCTACTTCACGATAGGAAGCTGCTTTTTCATCCAGATATTTTGCATATGGTCGTAGAAACAAGGAAATTCCATGGGCTGAATGTGATAGTATTGGGAGAAAAAAAGAAATTATGGAGGGATATATATATATATATCATCGAGATCAAAAATAAATCATTAAGACCTCTAGGAATAGGTGTAGCCTAAAAGCATATAAAAAAGTCACAATCTACAAGATAAATTGTAGCAACTGTGATCAACATTTCATGAGACAAAGTGATTGCTTTCTTCATCTATGTCTACACGAACGCTATTCAGCTTTTAAAGGTGATGATATAGCTTCGTTTATATTAATTCATGTGGACAACTGTGGACATGCGTTTGATTATGGAAGCGTTAAAATATTGGACAAAGGAATTCCGAGATAATGAACCTTTGAAGAAAGTAGATGAGTCCATGTATCAGGCTAATTGTGTGTGTTGGTAGTAGTGACAAAAAGTCAATCTTCATATAGTGAAGGGAAAAGCAGCATACGTCATTCTGAACAGTGTTCGTCTGTGAAAGGTTACGTGTACAACAATTTATTGCTAACAATCCTGCCTTTTATTTGCGATACATAATCTCTCCAGCATCACTGTCCAACGACTATCTATTGAATTCTTGACCTCTTATGTGTTTGAACAGAATTAAAACCGGTTTCCAAAACAGGTACTTGAGGCTTGAAAACGTGCAATATTTCCAAGAATAATAGGTCATACAGCGACTTCTGTGTATCACTATTGCTGTAGAACAACGGAAAGGCCGCCAGTTTATCATGTGATACAGTATTCTTAGCTCAGTGTGCCCCCCTGGATTGTCATAGAGATAATCAGATTAAGCAGTACAAAACGCTATTATATGTGGTCATCAATCAACCCAATGGAGAATGTTGCAGTTTTGATTCTATTTTATAATTACAGTCAGCCATACGCAACGTAGAACATGGAGTAAATCTGTACATAGATTCAAGTTGCCATCACTCCATTAACACAGCGAGATGAAATTATCAGTGCAAATCACAGAGTAGTAGATGCAGTGACAGTATTAGTGGTAATAGGAAAGATTAGACATCGAACATACAACTTGAGAAGATATACATTAGTGAAAGAAAAGCAAATTTATGAGGTGATTCGGAAACTTGGAGTCCCAGGGAGAAAGAGTGAATGGATTGTGAACGATTTTGAAGCATATCGCCCAAAGTCCCTAACCATTAATTACGACAATCACGAGCAACCCAACTACGTAGCATACATTTACCTACAAGGCTCAGTCCAATAGTCAGTGTCGTCACGGAGTGATACCGTTTTCGTCTGCTTGCCCTTAACTTTCTTGCAATGTACTCCTACACCAGCCATCATTGTGGGTTGAGGTAGTCAGTTGACAGACATACATAAAACATGTCCTAACCATCTCAGCCGATAACGACTCGCCACTTCCTCAATCGATTCGCCATACTTAACTAGCTGTCTGCATGCAACCTCAGAACTGTTAACTCGATGGTCCCAAAATTTACGAAAAGTCGTTCGAAGACACCTATGATCGAATATTAGTAACCTACAGATATCCTTTATTTTTAAAGACCACGTTTCACACCTATAAAGTAGAACCGGACAAATTCCTCAGCAGTATACTAGTCCCCCAGTTGGCAGACGGATGTTTCGCTGATGCTGCAAGTAATACAGGTTGACAAAAGTCGATCGAACTGTCTGATTTTGTGCCGTAATTTCATCAGAAACCAATCCATCTGGTGTGATGAGACTTCTAAGACAAGTGAAGTGATCAGTACACTCAACTACCTCACTCTTTATCGTTAGTTCAGATGTTGATGCAGACCAGTCGTGAAGCAACATTATGCATCTAGAGAAGGATATGCTAGCATCGGCGTTTAACGTCATCAGGACACTCTGTACTTTTCAGCGTCTAGGCCAAACAGAACCGTATCATCTGCGTTAGGAGATCAACTCTAGAAAAGTTGGACGATTATAATGATCTCTAAAGGAATGTCTATGATGAAGTTAAATAAAAATATAGAAAGCAAAGAAGCTAGACAAACATCACTTGACGTTCTCGATTACAATGTCATCTCCTCATAAGCTCTGATTTAGCCAATAGTGTTTGAACCATTAATTATTACTTTAAAGTGTTATTCTCTCAACTGTATTTTGTTACTTTCACTGTTTCGATGTTTATTCAATGGTAAATTTGTCTTGTACTATGGTTACTTTTATAAAGAGCTTGTCTTACTTTCTTTTATTTACTAGAATGGGAGGATTGGGTGAAAAGTCTCTTTTTTGTTGTTTACGGTTTAGAGTGTAAAAGAGTAGATCATAAACAATATAGTGATCGGTTTATTTTGTTAATCATATGAACTAATATACCTATATGTATATATATGTAGTAGGTGAACAAGAACTGAATTCATTAAGGATTATTGGATGTGTTAAGTGTTATAGATTGGTAGATTAACAAAGTAAAAGAAAAAAAAGAAGAAAAATCAGCTAATTAATTCATAATAAATGAATACAAGACAAAAAGAAGAACCGATCAACATGCATATACACACAAAATACATCGACATTATTACTATGATTAGTAAGGGTTTACAGTATAAATTAAAACAGTTGAACGTGATCAGTACATAAAGAAGAAATTAGGTTATTTAACAATACTGAGAAGAAAAAAAAACAATATGCAGTACGATGTAGATAATCTAACACAAGTATTAAGTTATTTATTCCAAATCAAAGAATCATTTGGATAATGTAATGAAAAGACAAAGTTTATCAGAACTATATATGATACGTATATTAAGATAATGTATTTATGAATGAAATATAAACATCAACTAGATAGATAACAAAGTGAATCACATCATTATGGATAATAACTCAATATTGCCACGGTAATATACCTAATGAAAGTAGAAGATATAACGTAGGAAGCGAGTTTTCAATCATAGGTATCTCTCTACAAGGTATTGGTTGTATGTAATAAAACTATTGAGTGAATGATCCTAAGATTAGAGGAAAGGTATTAGGTTAAAAAAAGAGCAAGTTGACAGATGAAGCTATAAACCCTCGTCGATTGAGTTCGTCAAGATTTGTGTTACGTATGCATAAATACCCCATACTTGAAGTGGGACATTAGATGTTATTAAGACAAGTTAGAAAAAGGATTTGATATTAATAGATTGAACTCCTAACTGTTGATCTGAGCCATGTTGATAGATGCGGACATCTTGGTTGGGGCACATGCAATAAACGTACTGGTTGGTTTGAGACTTTGAGTGGTGTGACGTTAAACCATTTACAATGGTGCAGTTGTATTCATGTTCTTTTTTCTTGATTTTCAATCATATAAAGATTCTAAACGGTTACTTGTCGAAGATTATAAATTGGTGTAAAAGTCAGTTAATGCCTAAATCCCCTCTTACTTTTATTGCGAATAAAAGGGTTTATATCTGTTTACCATCTAGAAAAGCACCGAACAGCATAGTTTTGAGAAAGAGACTGAGAGGAGCCGTTGAGAAAACGTACTATGCCGGTAAGTAGATAGTTATTAAAAAAAACTAAGCTTATGATTCCACACATGCCTAGAAATTGCCAAAACGATTACATCACTGGATTTGTCAATTTCCATGTTTGTAATTGAGGGTTATAGAACATGTATCAAGTTGGCCTTAAAATCAGTGACAAGCGCTGAAATATACAAAGGAAGTAGAAAACCATGTTCACCGACAGTAAGACATATAACAGAAACGGGCTATAGAATTGACATGAACAAAGCTTTTAAAATGCTGTATGGGGATTCCCAAGAACGAGTCCTTAGGCTTATAGAAGCGTTAGCTATTCGCGAATTTAAACCCCTTCATTGTGTGTACAGAAATCACTTGTTGTAACCTCGAATCTAACCTGGTAATCTTTTAGCCATTTAACGACTTAGAATAATGTGATAATTTCCTTTTCTTTCCATATTACATTGACTTTTTATCGCTCTTATTTATGATTGAACTTCTATTTAACTGAATTCTATTGATTTCCAAGCGAAATGCCATAAAAATTATGAGAGTAATCAGATAGTTTGAAGTGTATGGTGTAAATAAATCACATCCTTTAAATCAACTCCGTCTTCTAATTTTCCCATCACAATTTATGAAAGGGATTAACTGCTTTTTGATTGTGTACAACTGAAGTTTTCTATTTATTTATTTAAACACATAAATATTGGTACAAAGAGGTACCATATAGATATGCGCCACATAAATCATTCGATTTATGTGAGAGCCGGGATACTGCTCGGGTGCCCAAACTGAGGCAGGTGGTTTTCTTAGGGAGGTACACCTGGAGTCTTCGACCTAAAGGTCCGATCCACAAGGCAGTGGAACAACGTCAGAAGATGCAATTTCATGCTAGCTGGTGACCAACAATAGGTTCATACTCCATTTGTTCCTTCAGGATCCTGGAGCCCATGTGTACCATTGGTTTAGAATCAGGGTTTTCCAACTGTCCTAAGTGGACTTTCCATGTCCACCAACCCGGTTAAAGTGCCGGACATTTGCTTTTCATTCTTTCAATTTCGTAAGCAACACCCAGTCGTAGCGAGAAGGCATTGAGTAGGACTTCTCTGGTAGTGCCCGTATACACGGAGCCATGTGAGAGCGGACTCTCCTCACTCTCGGCCGTACTACGGCATTTGGAGGCTGTGGCGTGTTAGAGATTAGAAGAGAATATTGCCTTGCTAGTATGTTTTTATATACATAAATGAAGAAAACATTTGAAGCAACAAACAAATAAACACAATTTTTGAATTTTATGTAAATTGAAAAATGACTGTCCACTATGCAATATAAATTTAACCATTAGATCAAAACATACCCTGAACACTGTTGCGATCATGTAAACTTGGTACATAGAAATGGCAGTTATTTGAAGCGATGTATTGTGAAAATTTCTGAAATAATAACCAAGGAAATTATTATTGTAATTTATAAAATAGTTTTCAAATAGAAAATTAATAGATAACTAGAACTCAATCGTTTATATGGTATAAACTAAGTAAATTGGCCTACTGCATGTTTGTGTTCTACCCTTTGAATACCATTTACTACGAGAGAGTTGCTGATACTACTTGCCTGTTGTACCCGGTGAAACTGAGTTTGAATCTGTGACTTAATGGTTAGAAGTCGAATGACTGTGAACCACGGTTGAATTATATTAGGATATAGTAAAGATTTAAATGTGTTGTGACTGGTGCATGAACTTGCATACAATTTTATTCTGAGTACAGTTGTCGCTAACGTCTAAACCTATCGCTGAGAAGTCCTGACAATGTCACACACGATTAGACTTCCTACAACGCTGTTTTTCTTTAGTGTGGGATATATCATAGAGATCTTTCTTCGACACTAAGGGGTACCTGAGAATATTGTCATTATTATGCGGAATTCTTGAGAGGAACTGTACTACAAGATCATGTATGAAGGGGACCTAACATATGTATTTTAAGTGTGGACTAGTGTTAGACAGAGCTGTCTATTTTTACATTTTCTTTTTCTTTTGGTCGTTGACTGGGTTATGGAGAACTTAGTATTTCAGGAAAGATGCGGAATAGTGGAAACTTTAGGCACAGATAAGTGATTTTAACTTTGCAGATTACTTAAACCTGCTATCACATACACAGCAACGAATGCAGACGAAGAAAGGCAATAAGTATAGCAGAAATATGCTCCCAAATACCTTGGGGAGAGTCTGCTTCCCCTCTCGAAATGCTCTCACATGGCTACGTGTATACGGGCACTACCAGGGAAGTCCTACTCAATGCCTTCTCGCTACGACTGGGTGTTGCTTACGAAATTGAAAGAATGAAAAGCAAATGTCCGGCACTTTAACCGGGTTGGTGGACATGGAAAGTCCACTTAGGACAGTTGGAAAACCCTGATTCTAAACCAATGGTACACATGGGCTCCAGGATCCTGAAGGAACAAATGGAGTATGAACCTATTGTTGGTCACCAGCTAGCATGAAATTGCATCTTCTGACGTTGTTCCACTGCCTTGTGGATCGGACCTTTAGGTCGAAGACTCCAGGTGTACCTCCCTAAGAAAACCACCTGCCTCAGTTTGGGCACCCGAGCAGTATCCCGGCTCTCACATAAATCGAATGATTTATGTGGCGCATATCTATATGGTACCTCTTTGTACCAATATTTATGTGTTCAAATAAATAAATAAAGGAAAAATTAAGATCCTAAAGTATAAAAGTGTAAGTGCCAACCATATTACACTCAATAGTGAAGCTCTGGAAGAGGTGGAAGCCTTTATGTACCTGCGTAGTACCAGGGAGGATCCGGTACAGATATGAAGACACGAATTCGTAAAACAACGGAATGATCTCTACAACTGAAGATCTGAGACCCAGAAGAAATGTCACCGAACACTAAAGTCGAAAATTTCAAATCTAACGTCAAAACAATTCTGTTATATGGATCTCATACTCGGACAAGCAACACAACCATCTCTGAGTCACAGGTATTTATAAAGAACTGCCTATAGAATATACCCGATTCATTGGCCAGAAACCAACAAACCAGCTGCCAGTTGAAGAGGAAGTTAGGTAAAGACGCTGGATGTGGATAGCATACACTATGCGTAAACCACTGAACTGCAACACAAGGAAAGCTCTGACTTGGAATTTCCAAGACAAAAGGAAAAGGAGGAAACTGGCGTACACAGCACTGGGGATCGGAAACAGGGATCAACACCATGAACAGCACTTGACGACAACTGAAAAGAAGGAATGTCTAAGTTAAATAAAAACAAAGAAAGCAAACAAGGTTGACAAACATCACTTGAATTTGTCGACTACAATGTCAACTCTTCATAAGCTCTGATTTAGCTAGTAGGGTTTGAACCACTAGTTATTACTTCAAAATGTTATTCTCTCTACTGCATTTTGTTACTTTCAATGTTTCGATGTTTGTTCAATACTAAATTTGTCTAGTGCTATGATTACTTTAAAGGAAATTATAATCAGTGAAAAGATTTGTAATGTAAAAAATGAAATTACGTCCAGACCAAGATTACAGTCAACCTGAAAACTAGAACTGTACTATGATCCTTCGAGTTCAGGGGGTTTAATTCACTATGGTTTACTTTTCTCCCTTGCTTTCTATTGGCTATAGCTTTTTCTGCTCAAAGAGTAGAGGGGTTTATGTTGATGCCCTACTTTGTTTGGTAAAAATAGGTAAGTGAAGGGTAGCTAGACAGCAGCCAAATTATTTTTCAAAGTTTCGCCCCACTATTCCAGTCTTTTGGGCTGAGAGTGAATTACTGTCCTATATCGTTCAATAGCAATCACCCTAAATCCCTCACTTTTTAACACCACTTTGAGAAGACTGAATAACTGTATATTGTTGCCTATTTCCATCACTTTCGCTTTAACTAGCTATATATATAGTCCAAATGACCAATTATAGATTCCTATACTTTACTTCGGTCAACACTATACGAAAGTTAGTCACGCTACCCTACAATGAAGATCAAATTGACTAGAGTTTAACTTGATAGTTTTGAAAGTAAAGTAACTTGGCGTTTGAAACGATAAGGGAGATCTAAAGTGCAGGTGGATACTTTCATGGAAGCTCAGGGAATATGGCACCATTACACTCCCAAGAAACGGCACCACCTACCCAGTAGACAGTACTTAACTGTCGGAATTACTTTTTTTATGTGGAAATACATATGCAGGAACCAAATCTCCCTACTTGAAGGGTAAATTTTGGGGAAGCCGCAGTAGAAAACTGGGGAAACGGTACAAGAACACCAGAATTTCCCCAGGTCTGGGGAAAATCCCCAAAATGTTTGCGGAAAATGAGAGCTTTTCCTCAGAATTACCCAAAACTTTGGGGAAAACCAACAAACGTTTCACGACTTAGGGGAAAACCACAAAATTCCCTCAAAATAAAAGGACTTAGGTTTTTTAACGTGAAACACTGGGCTCATGAGTTTTATCAATATATGCCCCAATAGAAACAGCAATTCACGGTACACACAAGCTTTACAGCTTCCGTTAATAAATTTTATCAAAATAATGTTCTAACCTCGTTCCCAAACTGCATTAAGTGGTGTATCGTCAGCAATGCTTTGAATACAACAACCAAGTTGCTATGTTGTGTGCGAATGACGAGTTGGTTGGCGAAATCCGGGACTGAAAGGCGGGGTTCAAATGTACATTGTACAAGATCTTTATAATTCATAAACGGTTATCCTGACACTTACAGGACAAATGTTTTCTTTTAGGAGCACACATTTCTTCTGTTGTAGCTTTGCAAATAATTTTAACAACTACAGAGCCTGATAAAGTATACTTCATCGCTGTCATCAAGTCCGAAAGGCTCTGACCAGTTCCACTACCAGCCAACTGCTTAACGACCTTCCCAGCCATCACTTCGAAAAAGCAACGCAACTATTCGTGAATGACGCGAAAAAATATATCCAATTACTTTGTCACTACGTTGTATAAACTGATATATTAATTTGCACCATCTTCTTGCTTTTTTGGCATTGTTACAGGTATCTGGTTATGTCCGATGGGCGGTACGACACAGGATGTTGGCTATGTCAGTGTGGAAATAAAGTGATAATTCGAGTGCTGAGAGAAGACGATAGTTTGAAGAATAAATAAATAAGTTAATTGGTAATGTGTAAGAAAACCGGACTGTAATGATCAGAAGGAAAAGAGAGACGATAATTAGGGCTGGTTAATGGATATGGGTTAATGATGACCGTGGTCGTCTACGAGACATACACCAAACTCAGCTGGTCTTAGAGTGCGGTATCAATCCACGAGTGAATACGTGTTTTAGAGCTATTTACTGAGGGGGATATGGAAAATTCTGCTGGAAGGGAATATCAAATGAGGGCAGCGTCAAATGGGAAAGATGAGTGTACTTGGGCGCTAGCTCTTTGATGTACAGTCTCTCGAAGGTTGCCTCGAGGAGCATGGTGATGATGTTCTGGCAATATACACGCATTCGAGTGGCTTATTGTTCCTGATATGTTATATGACACTATCAGATCATACTCTTATTCTCCTTCAGCTAAAAGAGAACAATTTCAGGCGTGTGAGTCTGTTCTCGTATGACTTATGCTTTGGCTCTATTACCCGCTTGGTTGCTAGTCTATTTACTTGGTATAAAAGAATTATATTTCTTTTGAAGGGAGGGGACGGAACGACATTTAGGACTTAAAGGTGAGGCCGAGTGTACATTGTAAACAGTGTTTGAAACAACTCGATTGTGATTACTCAATTCATCCACGCATGAAGAAGAGAGGTGCGTTTATCTTGGTTGCATCTTTCATGTATTTTGAACTGCTGTCTAGGCTCTCAGAGGTTACAAGCCTGAGATTACACTTCGACGAAACATTGGAAAGCAGGCTTCCATGGAGAGTGTAAGTGTTGTGCGTAAAATGAAGCAGAGTGTACATTACATGAAATTTTGTTGGATTAATTATCAACCAGTTATCTAGTGTTAGATTCTCTATTGTTGTAATGTTCATTAGAAGCTCAAATGAATCTACTTCACTTTTTATGAACCTTCAGGTTTTGAAGCCGTCTGAATTAATCAGTCCCGCTGAGCTAATTTTTCTAACAGGTCATTAAAAGACCATGGATGGAAGTTAACATAAACGAATTTAATTTCTTAGACATACAAACACTGCCTTTACAGTTCCGTATTCACAAATATAATGTATTCGACAATTATTGCACGTGCCAACGTTTATGTCGAGTGTGCTCTTTTATTGTTCTTTGTCTAATCATAGGAAATTTGGAAAGACACAATGTTCTTTAATTGCTCAACATGCACAGGCTACATGAGCGCTACGATCAAATCTTTAAACGAGACCTTCTACTTGTGTCAGGCTGTACCGAGAGATCCGTTCCTTCTTTAGTCCTGGATCCTCACCTTCCGGATCTGAGCTTACCCTGAGGTACATTGTACCGGATGGTGTACCTCACTATCTCCCAGTGATCAGACTCTGTTAGCCTGCGCCACTCTGTTGGCTATTGAGAGTGCTGAAGATCCTTACTCATCACTATGTAGTCTGCTCTAGTCCCCTTGTTGTATCGTAAAAGTATTACGCCTGGCAAGCTCGATTTTTCATCTGTGATTTCACACGATATCTATATTTTAGTCGGCACTACGAACTGAAGGTCAAACTAAGAGATTTTCCCGATTTTTTCCAGCTCAATCATAGGACCTCTTACGTTGCTGTAGTGGCACTTAATGGTTTGCGTCATTACCTGGTGCTCCGCTGGAGCGATGTGTGTCTTCAGATTTTTAAGCAGATCGTTGTTACAATTTTGTTGGCCAGTTCTCTTCTAGCTGGTCGCTTAAGAGTACATTTGTAAAAGTCGGTAATAATTGGTTGGTTTGTATTTCGGAATTTTAACTAGTGTAAATATAAACAGCTTTTTTGTTAGTATAATTTTTTTTATTGACTGCTAATTGTTTGTTTTCGTAATCTGATCAGTTGGAATCCATCTAACTCAAACTACATGAATCCAATGTAAAAATTTGCAATTTTATATTTAAATTTTATTTCACTGAAACATTCACTCAGACAATTTCATCGTCCAGTGATATAATATTGCGACTTCAAGGAAAATGTTACGCAAACTCTGTCCAAACTCCATATTTTATATTACGGATCTATAAGACATTTGTATTCAGCATCAAGTTGTGGAAATGATTCAATTTCATTGGAATCAGGAGCCGGCCCAAATTGGACTACCACTGAAAATGGCCGTTCAGCACTTCCAGTCACTCATTGATGGTCTTACTTAGATTGACTTGTGACTTAAACTATCACCAATAAGTCGTTTCAACATAACGTTACAGGTGGTAATATTTGTCACATATAAATTCGAACAAATTAACAGATTACTGAGGTAAGATCATGCAAACAATATACTTCATTAATACTAAATGTTTATTGGGTCTAACATCAGTGAATGATGAATAGTGAAGATGACACAGTTATTCAGTGTTTGACAACACTTTTACCAGTAACACCTAATTTGACTCGTACCCACCAAGAGAAATCAAAAGACAGAATCGAGGAGATCAGAAGTTGTATTTGACGATTGCCAATATATCGGAATTGTCTGATCTAGTCTGACTAGCGACTGCAGTAGATGTTGAAAACAGCGTTCCCACACGTGATCTGGTGCGGATGCATGACCGAGCGCCTTCAGCTAGTTGATTCCACTAAAATTAACCTAGTCAGAATCCAATGTCGAAAACTTACAGAGCTATTTATTTTGGGGATTTATTTGCCGCAGTATAGATCTTCGTACATGAATAATAATTCAGAAGAAATCGACCAAAAACATTCTTTTGCGCGTTATCATAGAGAATAATGATTTTTAATAAAACAAAGGGCTACAGCACTATCTCAAGAAGGATTCAATAACAATGATAACAATAATAAGGAATGAAATACTTTCTTCATGAATACGACATTTGGTATGTTCACAAAGTTATCAACACTAAACTGAGATTGAATCATAAATCGTGCATAAAAAAGTGATATTGCAGGAAATTTGTATGTTTAATCATTCATGAGACGAGGAAGCCTATTAATGTTATGCCCCGATAGGAATAATGAGTGGTAATTTTTGGGATCCATTTGTGGACCAATGCTATACGTAAACGCTGAAAAGAATATAATGAGTAGATCTGAGTTCATAAAATAAGATAATTAATTTGGGAAATAGTAGAAATAAAACTCAATGACGCAATAAATACATGACACAACGGAGGAATATTTATCACCAATTGAAAGAGAGATTATTCACCATCTCCTTTTGAACACAGAAGTCAGATTTTGGACGCCTGATAGCAACGACCTCAGCAAACTTCAGAAGACTGGATTTTGGCTGCTTATTAATAAGCTTGAAAGATTACAAGGTATCAACCTGATATTCTATATCCAGGACATGTTTGTAAGCCTATTAAATGGATGACAATTATCCATTAAATGCTGTTATAGTAGTCAAATAGTAATTATAAGATGATTCTTAACAAATAGGAAATCCATTATCGATTATGAACATTCAGAATTGTGTGATGCTGATCATTTAAATAAACATAAAAATAAAAGTCATCTGTACATGTTGTTGCGTCAATCAGTAAAATTACCTGGAAACAGTGAAGTGGAAGTTTCCCACTAGTTAATAAAGCATTTGCTTACTCGTACATGATTTTATATATATACATATGTATGTAAAACTGAAAAAATCTAAAGAGTAATCAAAGTATCCATAATAAAATTCATTAAGAATATCTTTTTACTATAGTATACAATTGAAGATGCCACACGTATTCGCAGGTTGACATCATTTCAAACGGTAACACCTTCGATACTTGAAACGCGCTCACCCAGTGAAATCAAAATTCAAAAGCGAAGAAGTTCGAAGATGTTGTTGATAGGTCATCAACATAAGATAGCTAGCAGTTGTAGGAGATGTTAATCACGGCGTACCCAATAGTGATGTGGTACGAATGCGTGACCGAGCGCTTTCAGCTACGTGAGTCCATTCAAACTGTTGTGGTCAACATCAAATGTCGAAGACTTACAGAGTTATTGATTTTGGGGATTTATTTACCGCTACATATTTAAATTGGCGAATCTCTAATTAGTGTAATAAACAATATACACCTCTAGTTTGTGTACAGAGAATGATAATGTTAACAAACGTGTGCGATGACCACCATTACTAACCAGTTAAGACAAACATATGCTGGATCTACGCATGTAAAATAATCTACTCACCAGACAGATTGATGCACCATTATGAGCGTACCACATATGATGATTTAATAAATACAAATCTGTTTACTAACATGTTAACTTTAACACAAACAGACTCAGTATCATGTGTGAGTGGTCAATCTAGAGAATATTGTACAACGATTAATTTGATAACTCAATTATCTCTGTGAAAGTCAACATTGATAAAATTTATTCAATCATATCTTGAAATGATGATATGTGGAGTATCGGTACAGTTCGGTGAGAATCATTAGTGATTAATCACATGTCTGTGTACACAAATATGAATCCGTTTGATTGTGTTACAACTAGTATTATTAACTTGCTGATCAAGCAACACAGCGTATGGAGAGTAATTTGACATCGTCACTTAGTCGATGCCAGTTCAACTTCTCAATCATCACTCTACCTATATAACCTACAATCAATGCAACAAAACTTGTATTCAATTGTTTGTTCTATGAGAGTGATTTGTCAGACATCTGTCACAATATTCACTGTTGCTTGTTGTTGTTGATATACGCCTGTTACTCCTCGTGAAGGAGCATAGGCCGCTCACCAGCATTCTCCATCCAACCCTGTCCTGGGCAATCCTTTCTAGCTCCGTCCAGTTGTAATTCATCCTTTTCATATC